GGGGTGGGGGAGGAATTCCTCGAACGGTGTATGGGATAGGGCGGCGTCGACTCGAAACCAGTCGATCGGGCAGAATCGTCTCTTCTGAGAGGTGCAGTCGTTCCTGGGAGACTAATATAATCCGAGTCCGCATGCGGCAATAGAAAGGAAGTGTAAGCGGCACTTCATCGCTCCCTCATTCCCTTCCCCCCCCCCCCCCCATCAAATTTCAATGATGACCGCTTTTATCTCTGAAGCACAAGAGCAGCTCTGCAGCGGTTTCCCTCCCCCTTACTCTCTTCCCACCTTCCCCCACTTCCCCACCTTCCCCCCGTGCCTCCACTGGAGTGGTTCCCGTCTAGTGGCGCCCTCTGCTCGCTGCGCCGATGCGGCCTCGGGGCTTCTTTTTTTTTCCCGTCCTTGGAGTTCCACCGCGCACTGGAGTTGCATCCGGTGCAGATCCGGTGCAGGGTGCACTCGGACTCCACCGAGGCGGTTCAGATGCACCGAGGCAGCACTCGCAGTCGCGTTCCCTCCCTCTCTCTCTCTCTTTTCTCTCTCCCGTCCGGCTGCCAGATTATATCGCAATGATGCATTATGCGTGATTCATGCAATTCCCGTGGCACGCATGTGCAACGTCTTATCGCGTGCACGGTAAAACCAGCAAAGTTGCGTATTCTCGCGAAAGAGGCACGACGCCGTATCTTGCTTATTTTTCGTGCAATACGCAGGTGGAGTTTCGAGGAAAAGCGCTTTTTTTTTTTCTCCGTGCGAGCCAGTAACACCCGTTCCACGTTCGTGTGCCAGTCGTGCGTGCTTTCGAACGATCGATCCCACTCGAGAAGATTCCGAAACTGCAGTCCAGGTTCGTGACGCGATTCGTAAGAGCCTCGTCTCTCGTCCGAGTTTCCGTTAAGCCTAACTAAATTGATTCTAAATTTAAAAGTCAGTACGATCGGGATTCTGCACGGTACGTCGAGTTCTCCACGAATCGCGATAGAAATTTGACCCTAATTTGGAGAAGTCGAGATGAAATCGCCGGAGGAACACGTCTAAGAGCGGGAATACGAGTAACCAACCCACGGAATCCGGCGCGCAGAGGCTCCAAGACGCCCGAACGACAGCGTGTCTCCACCGAAACCTTCGCGAAGCTTCGTGTCCTCCCCCTCCCCCTCCCCCCTCCCCCCTCCCCTGCGACTTGGCGTCCGCGAGATGGATGACACGAATGGATGACGTTAGTCTCCCTCTATCCCTCGACGGGGTCGCCCGTGTCGGCGCCGACCGTGGAGAACGCGCCCCTCGCCTCGGTCGTTCCTGGCTCCGTCTCCATCGAAGAATCGAGACGCGGCATTTCCAAGACGGTCGTTTTCGTAACGTCGAGTTTCGAGGGTCGAGCGCGAAGTGTTCCCGCGGAAACGGCGAGTGCCAGCGACACCGACCGCGGGATGGATCGCCTTCGTCAAAAGCTGGCTCACAGGCTGGATATCGAAAATCCATCGGAAAGATGTCGACCGTTCATTGAGTTATCGAGCGATCGATCGATTCGATTTATTGTCCTAGAAAGCATATAAACAGGGTTTCAACCGGAAACAGTTAAGGACACGTAAACTACTGTTAAAGCCCTGTTACACTTGGCGAGGGCTTACCATTTACTCGCTTCAAACCGGCAGCCGTCCAATAAGGAATTTTCTTTTTTTTTTTTTTAGCACCCATGTACAGATGTCGATAAATATGAAATATGCACGCCAACCGTCGAATGACGCTTTGGAGGCCTCGATATAGTGGTTACAGAGAAAGACCGTTACTTGACCTTCTCTAAGGGCATCTGTAGATCGCTTCGTTCGTTCGAGGAAAGCCGGCAACGCGCTCGGGGCCAGACTCTCTCGCGTCCGGGAGTGAACGATCGTGCGCCCCCAGAGTAGGACGTTTTGAAAAGCCAGGGCATCGTCCGAATCCGCCCGTCGCGCCTCTTTCGCGTGATAACATACCCCACTGAGAGGGCAGCAACGAACGGCGAATGGCATGGACGCATCCCGAACTCGTACGAGACGCTTCGCGCTGACTTTTTCGGCTCCTGCCATGGGAGGAGTGGGACCGAATGGGGCCGAATGGGGCTCCATCTCGCCTTCGGGTTCCCTTTTCGTCGGTTTCAGGCGAGTCCTCTCCCGGAATTTGAAATAACGGCGAGTGAGGTGTTACGCCGAGCGAGCGACCCTAGCGAGTGCTCGCCGAGCGTAGCCGGGCCCTTTATCGGACAGAGATTGCGAGTTGGGCGAGTGAGTAGCATCACGAAACGGACAGTCGCAACATCGAGACCTGAGAAAGACCGAGACGCGACAGGAATCTAGACGAAAGAAACACCGTGACGGGCGGGACACACATCGCGATGGCATCCGCGCGTGCACAAACGACGAATGGGGCTAATGAGAGTGGCAAGAGAAATGGCGTTGCGGGGGGCCGTGCTTCGGGGGCGAAGGGAATTTTCCCCCTTGGGATCAAGTGCAATCAAGTCGGCTGGGATGAGTGTTTGAGTTCCAGAGATTGCTCTCGCTCGGAAGCTTCGTCGAAAGGCTCTTTTTGTTGGCAGAGAGTGAAATTTCAGAGTTTGTGAAGCGACCGATCGAAGAGTATTCGGAACGTGCTTCTTGTTGGTTGGGGAAGACACTAATAAAGATTTGAGGGGTGGATTTCTCGTTCCGAAGTTTCCATGCGAGTTCACGAAAGTTAAAAAAAAATCTAATTTTTTAGATCGCGTCCACAACAACAAAGTTTTCCAACCCATTTTCCTTTGCGAGTCGACTTGCAAAGAAAACTTTCGTGACGAGGACGTCTTTCAAAGTCTCATATGCCTGATTTTCAATGCTCCTGGAGATTTCTTCCAAAGTTTCCTTTAAAAAATCTTTTGCAACACTCTTTCGTCGTCTACGAAAGAAAACTTTTCTGGCGCGGACGAGGCCCCAGGTGCGGATGAATGGGGGCAAGACGAAGAGGGAGAAAGTTCCAGCTCGGATTTATGTCTCTATCACATCTGAGATAAAATAGTTTTTGGGATATGAGATTTCAGGAACCTTCCGCGATGAGTCATCGCACTCGCCGTCAGTGCTTTGCTTCGATCCATCGATACCTTTTTAATGAGTGATCAGAGTTGAGAGCGAGGTCGATGACGGTGAGGCTGGGCTTAGAGGCGGAAGCAGAGATGCCATCAGCGTTACGCATCCACATCGACAGGTTCAGTTGAGAGAGGGAGATCGTTTATATGTGGAATGGGAAAAGATGAGGCCCCGGCACAGAACTACCTAGGTGCCCGATGGACTAATAACCGTACATCGAGGAGCAGAGGAAACATCGAAAAGACAATCGTTTTGAGATAGAAAGTCACGTGTGGCATCTGCTGCAGGAGTTTAGAATTTTTGGGGAGTATTGCCGTGGGGCGAAAGTCGTTTCGGTTAGTTGTTGGACCATTTTTTGGTACAGGGACCGCACCCAATTGGTACATTGACAAATTGGTAATCGGACTGCACGTGCAATTTTGAGGGAGTTTGGAAAGGAGCCTAATTGGAGGCAGCGATCGAGAAGCAAAGTTAGAGCAGTGAGAAACATGTCTGACCTTGTACGGGGTTTGAGACATTTGGGGGTAAGATAACCACATCATGGTGATTTCTTGTTCTGGAGTGCACATACCGACTTTCTAATGTCTTCTGAATGGAATGTTATGCATTGAATAATAATGGCCAATGGGGTTGTGGGGTGTTGGTTAACCCCTTAGAGAGTGAGTTTTTCACACGATGAACCCCGTCCGGGGTGAGTTGTTTTCCAAGAATGTAATGATTTTTATGAGCATTTGCGCAAATGGCAGGATCAGGCGGAAAATTGTTGACGCCGTATATTCGAAAGTTTTGCAGCACATTCAAGGCGAAGTCACAGAACCTGCCGGGAGGTTCGTGCTCCTTAACGGGTTAAGAAAGACATTGGAGAAGGTAGTGGTGTCGTGATTGAGACCCGTGCATTTAGGAGAATTATAGTAGCGTGACTAATACGGTTGTTGACCTTGTCAGGAGGTACAGTAGGAGGATTATGTATTTTAGCTGCAGTTTGGGGTCACGCTGGGAGCGTTATATAACATGACCGAAGCATTCTATCACTTGACCGACTTATTGCACTCTTGTTTCGTCTTGGCCGGAGAGAGCGGCGGAAAAGCCAGGAGCGGGATAAATATCGCCGACATCGAGGAGAGGGGGGTTTGGTTGTTTATTTTAATATGGCGTCGCACACGGAGTGGGACATGCGATCTTCTCTTGGCGTAGGTTAAGCCTGGCGCACAGATGACTGTAATACATGGTGTTGACGGCAGTACGTTTGAAGTGCGTGGCATGTGAATGATCTGTGTCCATAGCCGATTCTGAAGTGGCGGTGAGTTCTCGTCGTGTGGGACAATGGACATGAAAAAAGGGAATAGAAGTCCGTCGCCATCCGTGGCTGCTGCAGTTGGACGTGCTTCACAGTCCCTGGCGCACATCAGCTCAGGTGTAGGCCTGGTTTCCCATTCCTCTCCTGGCAATGAGACCAAAGGGACTCCTTCTACTCTTCATCCATCTGGATGGAATCCTCAAGGAAAGCTGCCTGGGTGCGACTCGTAGGCCTAGAACAATGCCTAACGTTAGCTAACTTGGACCAAACGTTTGCTCTAACGCTAACCTTGATGAAGTTAACTCTCAGACCTATTATAAAGTCTTGGCTATTCATATTTAGACTTTTCTATTCTCATGGGTGTATTGCATAAGCTATGCCAAGTATATGATGGACCCCTTTCCCTGCTTGCATTTCTTTACGTGCAAAGGGATAGCTAGTCATTTTTGCTGAGTTTTGTGTGATTGAGAAGTATTTTAATTTGACTTAATAGAAATTGAAGCAATGATTATGCACGAACTCCCTAATTGGTATATTTCCTTCAACAAATTTTATTTGTCATGAACTGGAGCATTTAAAAGTACATAACAAAAGATGTAACTGTAAATTAAAGTAAAATGCATGTTTTTCCACTTGATTGAGAACTGGTGAATTGGGAACTAATTTTCCTTACATACCCATCCCCATTCCATAGCCAGTGCCTCATCCATCTCCATAGAATGTCAAGGCATTTCCTATTTGGTTGCATCACATGAGATACCCCCCTTTGATGAGAATGTGTAAGTCTGTAATCTTGCATTAATTTTACTTCTGCAAAAACTTACTGCAAAGTATAAAACAAGATTTAATAAGTACATTATTAATTCATGAAGGGCAAAAAATCTTGATATGTGAATACATATCTCCCTGGTGCCACAAATCTCAGGGATCCTTCATTATGTGAACACCATGGAAATACCAACTTCGTCTTGTGTACACCTGTTCAGTGCACACTATGGGGTACAGATGTCATGCGCTTGTTGAGCTACACGTCTAACGCAGCGCACCCGTCACTGTTATTGTGCACTCGTCATTGTTGGAACTTCAAGTTCTTCTTTGTGGGCAGGTCGATGGGAATAGAAGCTCTTTCACACAGACATTATCTCTACAATGCACACCATGGTAAAGTAGTCGCTGTTCAGGCAGGCCCAGGACTTCTGCCAAAGCCTTGGAGAGCAGCAGTGCACCATCACCTGCCAATTGGTTTTCTGCCGGTCATCCTGGACATCATTGAGTTTATCTCAGGGTGCATGTGGGAGCCACATCAGGAAAAGCAGCTCGAAGTGGTGATTCTCCCTCCACATGACAGTTAGTGAGGTTCAGTTGGTTGAGTGTTGCTGTCCACGAGAATCTCCATTTCGAGCCGCTTCTCAAGATCGTGAGATCTTGAGTCCGGTTTTTCTGACATCTCCCACGCGCATCCTGAGTTGTCAGAATGACAGGATATCTCAATCAGACACGACATTGAACATTGAGGATAAGTAGGCCTACCTGATGCATGGTGAATTCAAAGGAGTAGTGTATACAAGATGAAGTCTGCGTTGGGGGGAGTGTTCACATAACGAAGGAGGGATCAAATCTCTCTGGACCAATAAGGTGCATATGGACCTCAAAGGCCATGACCATTCTACTCTTGTTCACAAAATTAGCAAACAGAAATGTTTCATTTTTTTTCAAAAAGTAACATAAAATATGTGTAACTAAAGTTCAAAAGTGATGGTTACAAAATGGAGCACAAAGTATGCAGGATTGCATCCCTGAATCAATGAAAAAAACTGGAAGAATTGCTTCTTAAAACTACTCATTCAAAAGTATTACTTTGTTATGCCTTCCTTGAGAAGTTATTCTACTTGAACCTCATTCTTTCCACATATACTTTTCATTATTGGCTTATTGTCAAGAATGTCAAGAGAAAGAATTCTCATCAGTTCCTTTGACATTGAAACTTTTTTCAAATTAGCAATTTCATTTTCATAATATGATGGCACTCTGGACCTGTAATATTGAACATATCCTGCAAAATGAGGAGTGGTTGAGTGTAAATAAAATAGTGTTTTCAACAGGAAAGAATGGTTATCTGCTAATGAGAACTTCTTTCTTTGAGAACACTTTCATGACTCCCATCCGTGGAAGACCAATAACATTTTTATGATTGTTTCCTCCTCAATCTGCATACAGTTCACACTTTCCCAGAGCAATGCACTCCCTGACTATTTTTGTTATTGACTGTTTTTGTGCAGGGGCACAATCACTATAAGGACAACATTGTTTGATCTTGTTGAGAGAATTCCTGGATGTGGCTATGCAGCAGCAGCAGCCTTGTATCATTTCAAATCCTCATATTTTATTGCTGTTTTATCTAATGCAGAAAAATTGATTAATGAAACAGTGAATGGCATTAGTGTCATCTCAAAATAAATCTTGATTCTTTTTGTGAGATTCCTTTTAAGAATTTTTAAAAGGAGTTGTTAAATGCCATTCATCATTGTCTCCCCAGAGGGGAGAGGGTGATTTCCCTTTGATTCCTCTGCCAGACACTAGTGTGACACTCCTGGGAGGGGCATCACATATGAATGATGTTAGAAATCTTAGTAAAATGCCTGACCAGTGCCAGGAACACCTAGGTCCACCACTGATAACCTTGAGCCCCTTTCTGACATTTTGACAGGCAGATGGCAGCACAAAATTAATGAGCTGCCATAAAACAGGCAATGCCTGCATTGCAAATTTGGACTGGATAGACTATATACTCTGAATGTTATCTTTTTTTGTGATTCTTATATCACAAAGTCTTCTGTAATTGCTGTTGATAAGTGATTTCACATAATTGCAACTTTACCTTTCTTGAAAGAGGCCTAAGGTGGTGTCTTGACATCACAGAAAAGATGGTTTAGGAAAAATAAAACTTTTAAAGGTAATTAAGCCATTTGATTCTTTTGATTAGTTGTGGTTGCTCACTGAATCTTTGTGCTGAATTCTTTTGACAAAAAAATTGAATCCAATGGGGAGAAATGAGAGAGAGAAAATGCAGGGAATATAGATATACTAATTTTTTAAAACAAGTTGCCAAATTTTTCTAAGTATATTTGTATAAATAATTTGAAAAAATCAGTTAATTTAGTGAAAATTGATTGCTAAACATACAAATATGATATAATGATAATCAGGTGAAAATATTTTAGTTGGATTTCTGCTTGTGTGAAATAATGGTATATTTTAATAAAATCTGCCCAAGTATAGGAAATAATACTTTTCTACTGCAGGATAAGCATTTCCTTTGTGTTACAAAGTACCTTTCATTCATGGACCTTAGTAAGAGATGCAGTTGACAGAAGCTTGAAAGGGTTTCCTCTTTTTTGGGCCTCATTGTGAAGTGCAGTTGGCCTAGTCAAGTAATTGCATTCCTTAATATTCCATTTGTAAGTATAATGTACTGTTGCTTCTTCAATTTTCATAGGAGCAGTAGCATTCTGGGTAGACATCTTAGTTACCCAAGGAGGTGAGCAGGAATGCCTTGATTCCAGTTGAATGTGTGTTTCTTCAATGCCTGGGAATGCAAAAAGTTCCATGATATGTTCATTTTCTTGATGTGCCCTGTAGTAGTTTTGTAATGAGTTGGTCTCTGACTGCTGTTCTGCTAGGTTACTAGACCTACTAGTACTACTACTGGTACAGTACCAGCTTCAACGTTTCTTCAGTGCCACGACTATCTTCCTAGAAAGAGCTTCTGTTACCTACTTCTATTGATATGGAGTATAAGTTAATTCATCTACTGTATCTGTCTCACCCAATTTGTCTAATCTAGCCCCCATCTAAGAGAGTCTTGTGAAATAGTATTAACCCATACACTTCAAATCACCACATGAGTATATTAGTCAAGCCTGACATGGATATATACATAAAACAGACCCTTCTATAATGGAATGAATGATAGATTATGTGTGCCCATAATAGTCTTAATGGTTTCTTATCAATATTAACTAGATGCCTTATTGGCGTATACATTATTACTGACTTTTCTTTAGAAAATTCTTGCATTCTAATAGAAGGAAGTACACAGTCGCATTTTACCTTGTCATTGCAACTTGGAAAATATCATTAATGATAGAAACCAATCAGATGATTCTGTAGCTAATTTTTAATCCACAAAAGCAGAGATGTGCCAAGGGATTTATTGTAGATATACTGATGCCATATATACTATATTGCCAATTGTCAAGGTCAAGTCATGCAAATGATGGTGAACACTTAGTTGAACCTGCTACCTGATAAATATGTTTAGTTTTTTTTTTTTAAAGGGGAACTAAATTAAGGGGAAATTGTGACCAGCATTTGTGAATTGTGACAGGCATCTATGTGTATTTTTGTGAATGATATGTTCTCCAATCTTCATTGCAGTATTCTCCTAAGTTTCTCATTTAACTTAGCCTTATTCATCTGTTCTCATTTAAAATTGTTCATGAAAAACCTGAACAAATTTGACATGCAAAATGCACTTAACATTAAGATTTTGTTCTTAGTAGGATGAAGGAGCTATACCATAGTGATTGCTACTTTTTGAATGCACCATGTATTGTGTAGACAAGACCAAATTTAGAGTTAGGTTGTCAGTACAGTGGTACCTCGCATAACGAACACAATTCGTTCTAGCGGTGCGTTCGTTATGTGAGGTGTTTCTTTATGCGAAACACGATTTCCCATAGACTTCTATGGGAAATCATGTAATCCGTTCCACGTCGCCGCGAAAAATCAAGGAAATTAGGAAAAAATGTTTCACCAAAGTGACAGGAGTAAAGATCTGACACTATTCCAAAGTCTATACATTTCCTGTTTATAAACATTAAAATAATGGCTACTTCAATGTCAATAATAAAAAATTTGCACCACTGGAACGAATTGCGTTCGTTATGCGAGGTACCACTGTATTGGATTGCCTAAAATCTGTGGACCAGTTTTGAGAGCATGTATGGATTTAGTGAAACTGTGTTTGTCTGTGGTTAGTAGAAGGTTTAAATTGAAAATTTCAAAGTTTTCCTGAATCTGAGCTGCAGAGAAACACAAGAAAACAGTAGAGGCTGCAGTTTCTAGTTTATTCAGTATCATGTAAATGATGGAAACTACAGGGTGTACATAAAGTGAGTACCTAAGTGCAAATTTTTTATTATTGACATTGAAGTAGCCATTATTTTAATGTTTATAAACAGGAAATGTATAGACTTTGGAATAGTGTCAGATCTTTACTCCTGTCACTTTGGCATGGCCAAAAATCAATTTCCCAGGTATAGTGTTTTCGAATTTTAATTATATTTTTGAATGGAAAAGAAGTGGAGTCTAAAATTTGAAAAAATTTTCCCTTGACCTTATTGCACCAACTTCTTGTAATAATCATGGTATTGATTGGATAATGGCATATTTGAGGAATTAAAAGTAATAAAAATTAGGAGTTTACTCAATAAAATGGTTCATTGTGTTCACTGCTGATTTTCTGGCATTTTTTTATCCCTGGCAATTGCATCATCACCAACATCTATGAGAATTCTGTCACTTATATGGCACATAACATGAGAGTTTTGAGTTTTGTTTTTTTTTTTTGGTTGTGAAGTTTACTTGTGTCCTTGCAAAAAAATGCCTTTCTCTCACTTGCTTCAGTATGCTTTATTCCAACTTTCTGCACCTGTAATTGAAAGAAGGATCTGGTAAATGAATTCTTAGTCATATGAGAGTGGAGATGACACCATTTTGAGCTGTCTTGATAAACAGGCTACACAAATAAAATCAAAAGGGGGTTTGCCCAGATTTAATATGAAAAAAGTTGCCTGTAGGTAGTCACTTTATAGACACCCTATATTTGCCAGCCCATTAATCAAGGCTCCAAGAGTAACTTCTACTGTGTGCATAAACTCTGTTCCTGGAAAGATGAGGAACATGGGATATAAGTTCTTGTTTGACTGCTGTTGTGATTCCCTTTTTTTTGGACCTCAATTTGGTCCCTACACCCCAATTGAAAAAAAAAGTTAAGTATTAATGGAGACTGACATTAATTGATTTTTTCTGTTGTGTCAAGAATGCTAACCTTATGTATATGCTCAGAAACACTTGCCCTTCCATCCTTCTGGGACAGCATTCCTCTGCTTGGTGTGCAATTTCCTGTTTGTGTTGAAGTTTTAGAAGGGATATGAGATATAGTCTGGGGGGAAAGAGACCTGGAAGTGGGTGAGGGGAGGATGGTTAGCAATAATTATTGAAAAGATTGGTTGGTTACTGTTTCAACCTCTGGGACTCCTAAATTAAACACACAATACAAGTTGAGGCTGGTAAAGGGCCTTGCATAACCTTTTGTTAGGGGGTACAGCAATTATGAAGTACCAAAAAGAGAAGTGTAATACATATTTTAAAAGCTAATTTTGTTCTGATTTCAGATTAGTCATTCAAAATTTAAATGACATTTGCAATGATGATAGGCAACATGAGATTGACCGTATTTGAGCATACACCTATCAAGAAGCAAGGGAGGCAGGTGCAATGTTTAGTAATTTAAAGTGAATTACTCACCTCTGCATCACAGTGAGAGATTGAGTTACTGACAACTGGAACAAAGGATACTAATCTTGTTTTACTAAATTTGGTGATGACAGACCCAAAAAATTATCCAGAGAACAAAAACATTGTGATGGAGAACAGTGGAAAAAGACTAAGAAAAAAAGCTGCAGTTGAGTTGCAAAAGACATCTCAAAGAGGTGTGGAAAGATTGTTAATCTGTCAATTATGCAACAATACCATATCAGGAAAGGAATTAAGGCTTTAATGAATTGTGAGCTTGGTTCTGACCAAAATTCTGAAGCGGTTGTCCTTCAAAACTTCCAAAATGTTATTGATGAACTGGAAAATGAAACATAACTTTTTGAAAATTTGTTGAAATTATATCCTCGTCATTTGAGGGCTGTACATGAAGCCAATGACAGTCACACAAAATACTGATGCATTACTGAATTTAGGTTGAATAAAGGTTTAAGTTAATATATTACTTACAATTGTTCTATTTGTACTTAAGGTTGTACCCCCCCTAGCAAAAGGTTATGCAAGACCTTGTACAATTCATTGCTTAGACCGAGTCCATTCAAGCAGTTTCTTGTATTTCTCTGCCTGATAAAGTCACCATATCAGCTCCTTAAATACTGAAATCATAGTTTTCAACCTGGCTTCTTCACTTTCAAAGATGAACCTGTGTTCCTAATTTTCCTTTATAATCCTGAGTTGGATGAAACCTGAGTTTGCATCCAACATAATATTCAAAGTTGGATGCAAAACCTAATAATTCATATCTATGCTCAAATCACCATGGAATTTCCCAATTTTGTCATTTTATAAGTGAGAAATTGTGTGTACTGCACGGGTGCATTCAAACAGCTGTTCAGGTGCATGCCATTCACTTTCACATCATCTGTTAACTAAGGTAGACAGGAATGAGAATGGCATAAGTTCATGTGCTACAGAAAATATATCAAATTTGAAGGATTTATGGTAATGGCATCCATGTAACTTGTCATTTTCTCACAATCGTGGTGACCTTTGTGGTGTTCCCTTTCTATTTTCCCCATTGGTAATTTGAATGCTGGTAATGTGAGTGCTGCATGATAAATGCAAATTCTTTTTTAGATATAGACAGTGGTGATCAACTTTTTAAACTGACTCTTTGCCTAGAATTTGAACTTGTATGAAACTAAGAGTTCTAACTCAACTTTGAGTCTTTGTGATGAGTCAGAGATTGCTTACCTGATTTTGATATGCAGAGGAAAAAACCCTTGAGAAGAATTGTCATTTAAGTGAGTGGGGCAGGTCCTCCTGTCAGCTTCCAGGTGCAAGTGCAAAAATAAAATTCCAGTCACTTTTGTAAAATCACTGTTGTGCTAAAACAGCTAGAGATGAATGAGCAAAAATGTTCTGAAGCTCTAAGAATGCATAGAGGTGTGTATGAAAGAAACTTCATTGTTCAAGCTACTATTTCAGAGGCACCACACATTTTGAAAGAGTGGTACTTTTTTTTTGCCTTGCCTGGTATGTCTCTTGAACAAAATGAGACATCTCATGTGGTACTGGGGTGAAAAGCATTGAACTGGATTCTGTAAAGTGTCTTGAATTTAATTTACTTGCCTCACCCTTTTATGCCTTGTTAACTAGGAGAATTGTGGTCTGCTCCCTATGGTGTATGTCAGCTACTGGTGGTTTCTATTGAAACCAGTCTATCTAGTGGTTGAATGAAGAGAAGATGCAACTTTTTAGTTCATTTCACCTGATCTTGTATTGTGGGAAAATCTGCTTCATGTTGATCTGGGAAAGGCTCAGTTATTCATCTCCATAATCATATTATCATCAGACTTTAGTAAAGGTTCACTAATTTGGGGATTAATCACCAGGGTTGGAACAAAGATACATGGGACTTGTTCTTGTTAACCCTGAGAATGACCCCTTGATAACAGTCCATAAGCAGGTCTATTTCTTGCAAGCAGGAAGAAGTCAGGAGAGATAGGAACCAGCAATGCTAGTGGAAGTGGAGATGGCACAGGAGCAAGTGGAGGTCCTGGAAGTGCAACAGGAGTCTCAAAGGTTCTCTCTAAGGGAAAGAAGTCTCCTCTGTTGCCTAGAAAAGTGGAGTCTGGAGCTCCTATCAGTGTACTTGATACAAGTGATTCTGCTGCAGCTTCTCAGGTATGCCAAAGAGAATATGCCAGGTGGTCCTAAACTATTCCCAACTCTATATCGATGGAGACAGAAAACCATACATAGTATTGGCAAGAAATTTACAGGGTGTCATCCAACATGTATATGTGGTTTAATGAAATTTTCAATGAAATTGGTGGTTCAGAACCCGATTGCTTTTTATAAATGTGATGTTGGGCAAGTATGTCTGTGTGTCTACATCTGCTGCTCAGCTAGATTGGGCTATGGTCAAACCCATCATGCATGGAGGAGGCAGTTTGGTTTCCCATACTGACACTTGCTTATTTGGCATTGTGTTGAAAAATCTTTCACCTATTTTCTTATGGAGCAGACTCATGGAGATTTTTATGAACTATACATGCATGCTAGATTTGAGACACTATGAATGTGCTGATGCCACATATGGTGTTCTGTCTGTGGCTGTGTCAAGTGGGAACATTTCTTGGAATACCTGGTATAGCCTTATTGTCTTAGTTCTTGTGCTTAAAATTTCCATGTCTTTTTGCCTTGGTGGAGCTATGAATGTGTGATTGACATGTTGGTCCCCACAGTCAGACTCTCTACTGCAGACATCAATGGGATCAGGACCTGATTCAAGCATTGATGTGATGGACTCAGGAGACATGGATGCAGAGCGTACTCGACAAGCTCTGGAGCATATACAGGCAAAAATCCAGAAAACAAAGGAGTTGATCATGCAAGAGCAAGCCACAAAAGATGGTTGATAAGGCTGAACTTGCTATTCTTTGCATATTGACTTTCCATTGACATGATCTTGGCACAATTTGGGTCTGTTTTTTTTTATTTATTTAGAGAATGTGAATGAATACCTCAGACTGGCTCCAAATGCTGGTGACAAGGCTCAGCTGGCTCGGCTCAAGACCATGTTTGAGAAGAAAAATAATAAGACTTCACAGAACCTGAAGCACCTCCAAGCCAAATTGGATTCATACCAGCGGAGGCTTCGAGAGCTGGAGACTCATGGTGTGAAACCTGCTCAATCTCGTCAGCCAAAAGAGGTGTTGCGAGATGTGTCTCAAGGTTTGAGGTGAGCAGATTATGTATTTCCTAAAACTGCATTCTTCCTTTCCTATTTACTGTTGTGCTATCTTTCCCCTATTTAGTACTGTCATGATATCTTTCCATACACTTAGTGACCTTTGATGAGTCTATCTAATGTGCACCTCCTATTTAATTACTGATTAGCTGACAGTTTTTCCTGCTTACCCATTTGATGTCTTATCTTTATAAAGTTGCCTTCAGCTTTAGGCATGTTTTATCCCTATCAGACATGTTGGAGGGAACATCAAGGAAGGGATTTCTGGCCTATCAGGGTGAGGATGAGTCAGCCTCAAAACATAGCTTTAAAGCTATATTCTCATATATCTTATTTGCACTTCTATCTGCATGGTGGAACAAACCATATTGTATTGCTTCAAACCCTTGTGTTTTGTCAAATACAGGCTTATCACATGGCAGTGCTTCAACTATAGCTATGAAGCTTGAAAGTGCATATGTTTGTGTTCTTACCCTGTTCCACTTGAGAAATGTCAGCAATGGGATGCTCTTCTTACTATGTAGAGAAAATGTAATACCTTACAATTTGCTTACATCATGTTCCTCTTTTTAAGTGAGAATATATGGAGATATTCTCCAGATTTTCCCTAACCTCTTCAAAGTAGTCAGGACATTTTAAGTAAGAAGGTGCTGGGACAGAAGGATGAAAGACAGCAAGTTCCTTACATTTTGATGGATAATTCATTTTATGAACCTTTGAGAGATTACTCAAGCACTGAAGGTAAGGAAGGTTTTTTTTTATTCAAGCCCATATTAATCATTTAGGAGAGTAATCAATAGTAGATTTGTTGACATACTCATTCCAAAGAATCAACCAAGGCTAGGATTATATGAGGAGTAATCAAAAAGTTCTAAGCCCATGGCACTTCCAGTTGCAGTACACCATTCTTACTCTTCTCATCTGGAGATAGGTGTCTTTGATGGTGACTGGCAATATTTCATCTTATTTGTTGATTAAATATAGATTCTATTTTTAAAAAATTTCAATGTGCTACCAAAGGGTCTGCTGAAGGGGTATTAAAATTGAGGTGAATACTGTGATGAATTTTCTAATCTCTTAAGAAGTCGATCTACCAGCAAATCTTTCAGCAGCTGAGAGGAGTGTCCTACTGGCACTTCTATGAAAGATCTGCTGGGAGATTGACTCTATAGAGATTAGAAAATTCTTTACAGCATTTGTCTCAATTTTAATACCCCTTCAACAGGCCCTTTGGTAGCACATTGAAAAAAATTAATAGAATTTTTAATCAGCAAATGAGATGAAATATTGCCAGTCATCATCAAAGACACCTATCTCCTCATGAAGAGAGTAAGAATGGTGTATTGCAATTAGAAGTGCCATGGGTTTAATTAATACTTTTTGATCGCCCCTTGTATTTCAGGAGGAAATGCACAATTTCAGCATTAATACATTTCTAATTCTCTGAGAAATGTACTAGACATGTTGGCTATGGATCCCTTGATAGCATCTGCTCTGAAAAGTTGATTCAAGGTACATTGAACAAAAGTTGCTCCAGATGCCACTGGCTTGAGAGAGACAGTAGCAAACAGTGAACTGTCAATATTGAAAAAGTAAAACTAAAGGCATAAAGATATCCATCATCTGCAGGGTATGGCATGGAAGACCCTCAGCTTTTGGCCTTTTATATCTTATTGGAGCTATAAAAATTCAAAATTGTACTGTGCATAGTCTGATGTGTTTCGAACACTTTTGTGATATTTCATGAAGTTTTTGTTCTGTCAAAATAAAAATATGGCTATTTGCAATTATTGAAAATAAATGAAAAATTGAAACTGGATGGGAGACTCTAGACACTGCAAAACAACTAGACTGCCTGCTTCCTCATCCAACGTTGATGAGTGAAAAATAAAAATAACCTTGGAGCAAAATCTCTGCCTGAATACTTTTATGGTCCATCAGTTCTTTATTAAATTGAGGTTATCAAAACCATTCAGCAAGAGACCAGCCTTAAGAATGAGTTTCATGGAAGAGTTGGACGATTCGGCCTGGATGATGAAAAGTTGTTTCCACTAGCACAGGTTTCTGTTCATTTTCTTTATTCATCTTCTGGATGCATATAAGCCTGTGCACAGTGCAATTTTAATATTTAAAAAAGTAAGAGCAAGGTTTCTTGGTAATAAGTCAGGCATATAATTTTCTGCCATGCCATTCTAGAACCTCCAAGTGTTCATTGATAGTCAGGTAATTTTGGAATTTTGTATAAAATCTTGATGTAAAGAAGGCATAATGATGGAGCCGAATGCCTTATGCAGCAGACTATGGAATGCACCATTCCCTCAATGTGCTGTGGTGTATCTGTGACGCATGTTTGGAATGATATTGATACAAATACGCATAGGAACGAAGCTATGCACGAAGGAGCAGCATTTGTGTCCCATTGTGTCATCACATGCTCATGTTCTCTATCTCCTTCCCTTCACTCTTTTTTTTGCCATTGTCCCCTTACTATTGAAGTGGGGTCGTGGGAAATCTGAAAGGCGGGTTGCAGGGCTTGGGCCAGGTCACCTCTTCGGCTGCTGGGTGAGTCACCTGCGCATCCTGCGTTTCTTCTCTCTTGTGTCCCCTCTGTTTCTATGGATTCACTGTTCTTACATTTCTCGGAACTACATTCAGCTTTTCACTGTGTATATTTGTACAATGTGTTCATAGCCACAGAGAGTTCACATGCTTGCTAATCTCATGCACACTTTGCTTGATTTTAAGCATGATTTTCCTTAAGCATTTTCTGCATTTCTTGCTGCATATTCTTCAGTGCTGGTTTTATGTCTTAGGTTCTACTTAGACATCTTCAATAGGTTGACAGTTCTGGTCTGGGCCTTATCGATAAAGAAGGGTTGTTTTATACTCATTATTAATTTAATTTAATTTTTATTTATTTATTTATTTATTTTTTAAGACAAGTTTTACCTATGTCTCATATTGGCTAACAAATGCAGCAGAAGTTTGGTATATGCTTCAGAACAATTTCTGCTAGTTTCATACTGTTGCATATTCCACATCAACACCAGAACTGCCAGCATGCCTAAGAATGCTATGATAAAATTAGATAAAATACTTTTTGCTAAAAAGTTGTCAGTTGCTGGATTGCACTATTTATTCCTCAATCACTGGACTTACTTTTGCCAAAATGCAATTAATGTGATATGAATTTTGCTTCACTTAATTTCTAAACCTATGCACTTGGCTCCTCTCTCCATTTTAATCCAGAATATATTTTGTGTGCTGCTATTGACTCTTGTTAACTATAGTTGAATTTCTCACTGCTGTGAATACCAATCTGAATTAGGTGTGATGATGTAGTACCTTGCATTTTGTAGCATGCTGGCATTAAAAAGGGCTCTTCAAATTGTAAAATTTATTAACATGTGAGAACTGTTTTGCCAGCTCAAAAGGAGTTATACTGACATGTCAGTTTTACTTTAAGGGAAATTGTTTTATTTGCAAATGTAAAGAAATAAAAATGAACAAGGAGTTGGTCTGTGTAGTAGTCTGAGAGGGGAATAGGAGGAAACATGGTTTAATATGGAAAAATAAAATCCTTTTGTACAAAGCATAAGTTACTTCAGTTTGTTAGCAGAGTGAAAGTACCATTTGACTGTGCTGAAGCATTTGGTTCTATTCCAAAATTTTCCAGTAAAACCCAGTTTCTGGGCAAGCCTTTAAATCTACGAGGGAGGTGCAAAAATAGTGAGACTTCGTAATTATGTGGGCAGGACTTTATTTATACCTTTGTGCAAATGTAGACCCTTTATTTTTTTAAGTAGTCTTCTTGCCTTGATACACATTTTCCCCATCTGTGGTTCTGTTTATTGAAAGAAAGACGACAAAAGAAAGATAGATAATAAAAGCATGAGTCCCATTACTTTTGCATGTCCCCTCGTAAGGAAACCTCACATTTGGCACCATATAGAATCAGCCTTGGTTAAATGGACATCTTATTTCAAACTGGCAGGCTGCAAAATGTAAAGTAATATGGTAGATTTCTAATTGTAAAATCTGTGTGAAAACCAAATTGTATTGCATGAAAGGAGTAAGTTGATCCAGGAGTAAATTTAATAGTTTCCAAATGTTCACAATGATTAAATGCTTAAGGACATAATATATAAGGCTTTGCTCATAATATTCATTCAAGTCCAACTTCTCACACATTCATTTCACTGCCTCTAATAGGATTTCATTGTAGCAAATCATAGGAAGACCAGACAGGATGAATAATTCTGACCTGGATCTCAGAGGAGTGATGGGTCAACATGTGCAGCTTGAGGTGCCTTTTAAACTGAAATAGTTGAGGACTGGAGGTAGAGGCATTGAGAATAGCAAAAGGTGAAATAGGAAAAAGCATGCATAAAAAAAATAAAGGGTGCTCAGACTTCTGAAAAGAAAGATAGAGGGTCTTAGGTTCCAGAAAAGTGACAAGAAAGATTCCTGAAATACAATAGGAAAGGTGTGCATTCCACCTCAACTCATGCCTCCCCCCTCCCCCCAGAGAGAAATCCATACCCAATTTACTTGTCTAAAGTGGTGGCTCACTGGGAATGAAAAAGGGTGTGAATGGCCAAACAGAATGATCTGCAGCCCTGTACCTTTTTATCTGTTCCATTAGGTCTGAAGCTCCCAAATTTCTGAATTACTTGATCATTTGGCATCAACTCCCCCATTTTTGTCTTTGGGGAATGAAAAAGGAACCCGAGGCAATGCACTGGGCTTCATTCAAGGAAGTAATTAGTTGCAGTTGGTATCTCAATGTAGTTCAGACTATACATTATTCAATGGACAGATTTGTTATTATCTAAATGCAGCTGGAAAAGTAAATTTTTTAAAGAAAATGTTGTCATGCCTCTACAACAGTGGATCTGCAAATTGACTGATATCAAAATTACCCCTGTTCATAGCAGGAATGAGTTAACCAATATATATAGTCATGGAAATAGTCAAATAACAGTTTTGCACTCATCCTGGAGGGTTACCATAAGTCACGGTTTCATTTTCAATTCAACAGTAAGCTTGATATGTAATATTCTGTAAGTGCTGGGAAGGCATGTGGTAAATCTGAATAGAGACTTTCACAAAGGTTTTGCCTCGACACCAACTGAACTTGGTTGCTCCTCATTGTGTAGAATACATCCCAAGCAGCAATGAACTGCAAGTATATGCAGTTGCTGCTTGATGTTACATTTTTATGTTTGCCAGAATGTGCTTTTCCCACTTCCCATAAAAGGCAATGGGAGATGATGATCTGAACTGTCTTCATTTGGATCTGGTAGCCAATCTACCATCTGGTAGTCAATTTACATAAATATTTTTTACATACAATTTTTTGCTCTACTCCATAGATGGATCATGGAGATTTTTTAAAACTTGGCCCTCAACCTGAAAGTACTTCAGTCAAATATACTTGATGTTACAAAAAAGGCATCCCCTTTCCCTACCATGGAAATGCCAAGTTTTTCATTGCTTTATATCAGAAAATACTCTAAAATTTATTTTCAGAAATTTTAGTCTCCTGGTTTTTGGATATACACCAGGCTTCTTTAAAAAGAGCAACAGCCAAACTTCACTTTAAAAAAAAAATCTGCTTTTCCATGTATCAGGTTACTGCTTCAGCTGTTCACAATTGTCTCTTTCTTTTTTCCCCAGAAAGTATTTTTTTATGGTTGCTCCATTATTCCAGTGTTGACTGTGAATGTGTCATCATGTAACAGTTGACTAACATCTTTGAATAAATGTGAATTTTAATAGGACTGAAGAGGGAAGAGACTACAACTCTTACTGTTCTGTCTTGTCTTCTCCACTTCATATACTCAAAACACTTAGACATTTTGAGGCAGTCTTTTTTCAGCTGAGACCTGAAAACATTGCACAGTTGGGAATTCTGTGCCAAGAACTTACCCATTGAAAAACAGGCTTTATTGCGCTAAGAAGAAGAGTCTTTTGAGAAGTGCCCACCACACTGGCCTAAAGCTTGGAAAGCTGAACTTTCTCACTGAAATTTAATGAATCTTGCCTTTTATTCAAGCAACTTAGAATCCTTAAACTTTAATTAAATGTATGTTAGAATGTTTCCTCTGTTAGAAAAAGTATGAACTTATAATTTCTGCAGTCAATTTAATTAATAAAGCATTGAACAGGATTTGTGCTTCTCGCTCTCATGGATATTATGCAAATATTTATGAGAGTGCATACTTTACTTACTGCTCTCAGTAAAAATAGGCTGTCCCCACAGGAAGGATGCCTGCTCTATTTTCCATTCCATACCAGTATAAGAATACTTTTAATACTGATATGGAATGGCTACAGAGTTTCATCTTTTGCATAGCCTTAGAAAGAGCATTCCTTTATATTTCCAGAATTTTGCCAATTGTGTTGCTTATGTCATGCAATATGCAACAGGTGCAAAATTCGCTGAGAAACACTATTATAAGGATCCATTGAGTATCATGACACATGGTAAGACCAATGTTGTGCATACTGAAGAGGCAGGGTTGGATTAGAAAATATCCATAGAAATTTTGAGATGTAGCTGTAGATCATGATATTTAGTCTTAAATTTGGCTCCATTGAAGAAAATTTTAAGTAGAGACTCCCATTAAATGCAACAGGACTGTGATGGCCAAGCCAAGAGAATTTGCTCACCTCATCAAGAATAAGTTTGGGAGTGCAGACAACATCACTTCCTTTCAAAGTTAGTCAAATCAGTGATTCATTCATTTCCTCTGTATTTTGGGGTCTTTCTTGAATCTATTTGATTGTTGTGGAACAGAAGAAAATGGTTCAACTGAAAACAAATCACACCATGGATCATCCACATTGCCTCCTCGTCTGGTTTCTCCGACACACCAGCTGTCTGATGCAGGACATGATGTTGTATGGGAAGAAAAGAATATATTGAATGCACCACTTGATGATGGGCACAGTTCAAACACAAGTGAATCTGGCCTTCATATAACTACATCTCAACTGCATTCACCAAAGAGCTTGCTGAAGCAGGTACCTCCTGGATTGAACTCCTGTGTGATTTCTTGTAATGAGGCATGTCATCTTGCATTCATTCCTTCTAGTAGTGCTCACAACCTAGTCATAGATATGTGGTTGTTCTCCCAGGTACAAAGCAGAGAGTCCACATTGAGCCTTGATGCCTTCTGCCAGGAACTACAGGAACGGCGGGAGGAGAATGAAAGACTCCGAGATGAGCTAGATAATTACAAGGTCACTTACCTTGTCACTATCCTTGGTTTCCAAGAAGCAAGAGTAAAAACAATTTAAATTTTAACATTAGTTACTTTAAACCATGTTGTCATTTGGAGTGCATCATTCTCACATGCAGATTCTTATTTAAATTGAAATTCAGTGACACAAGGAGAACAGAGAATTTCCAGAAATTTTATTTGTTGCACAATTATCCTGTTCCTGCAAATATTTTCTCTTTCTCAACTGTAAGTAAGCAACTAGTCAGAAGCAACTTTGATTTGAAGAGAAACTCTGTCTTTGGCCCCTACATTCCTGTTCATGATGATGATGATGTATGCTAGAATGAGGAGCCATGGAGGGAGAATTAATCATGAGACATGAAATTGGAAGCATTTGAGAGTCAGCTCTGATCTGAACCACAGTGTATCTGCTTGGAACACCTAGTCATAGTTTTTATCTCAGTCCTATAAAGTAGTATCCTATTACCTCCTACAGAAGCAAGTATTGAGTGACCTGGGAATGTTGAGCAACTGCATCCAAGAAGAGAGATTTCGAGTGGAACGTCTAGAGGAGCAGATCAATGACTTGACAGACCTTCATCAGTCTGAAGTGGAGGCTCTGAAGCAAGCTATTACTGACACAGAGGAGAAAGTATCATACCAGAGTGAAGAGAGGTTGCGTGACATTTCAGAGATGGTGGAATCTCTCGCCACACGAATGACACGGTTGGAGCATCAATATTCCCAGCACCAGCAACTTGTTACCTTGGATGCCATTGAAAATTCCAATGCTCGGGCTCTCATTGTGAAACTGGTGAATGTGCTTCTCACGGTGTTGCAACTGCTACTCCTCCTTGTTGCCACCGGTGCTGGGATCATCATGCCTTTCATGAAAACCAGGTTAGTGATCTCAACAATCATACCAGCTGCTCAGGTATTGAACTACCTTATCTTTTTCTAAGTAGATTTATTGTTATGCTGTTGCAGGATCAGAATATTGACTACTGGAGTGCTGATCTTGAGCTTTGTGCTATCTCTGCGAAACTGGGCATATATGTGTCAGGTGGCAGAGAGGTTATACTGTGTTCATATCACCAAAGAGTGCACCTCTTAGTAGGTGTTGTGATCATTTTCTGTGTTTCCCTGGCCTAGCCAGCATTATTCCCTCCCAGTATATTTATGTTCTCAACATATTCCACTGTCTACAATTGCCAGTCTTTCAACATTTGCACTTAATTTCCATTGAGGTTTTTATTAGTGATTTTTCAAGATATTCTCTCATAGTGTTTTGTTAGATTTTTTAAAAGAATAGTACCAAGTACTTGTCTTTTTTCACAATTGGAATGTTTGTTTGGAAAAAAGATAATTGGAGCCCTTGGCTCTCCTGCCAAAAGTAGCTTCATATAGACTTCCAATCTTTTTAAGTCCTCTCATGTCATCCTCCTGATGAGGAGGTCTCATGTCACTCCTGGTTGTAGTTCTGGGCTTGTGAAGTCTGGTGCACTGAATAGGAGAAAGTAGGCTCCACCATATACAGGAACACCAATGGATAGAGGGGGGGGGGGGGCAAAATTATAGGTGGGCCTCTTTCCAATTCAAAAGTAGAGGGAAAATGGTTGGCTTTGACACCCCTTTCCCCAAGAATTAATGTATTTATTTATTTATGCATAACAGGTTTTTTTTTAATTCTGGCTATTGGAAAACCCCTTCCAAGCATCTCAATGCAATGGTAATCAGCTGAGACTCCAGTCATGTTGTCAACCAGCCTCAACTACATTCATAATGTCTCTCCTGCAACGGCTGATGTCTTCATGTCTCACCTCCAGACAATTGCCTCAGCCTCAGGTTTTGCTTCCAACCTGTTGAGAGTGAGAGCAAGCTATCTAGCTGGAAATAAAGTGAACTTGAAAGGATTTTGTTCATTCTTTATGCAAGAAGACTGCATGCTTCATTTTGTGCAATATGAGATGAACTGGTAATGAAGCATCCTGTAGTGGAGGGACCATGCAATGAGAAAGCAGTCCCAAGATATGCAGTTTTGTGAGATTTTCACATGTTCTCAGTTAGTTTTGTAAATTCCTGTCTAGAATCCTTGTCATTCCATGATTTCTTTCTCAGTAACTGGTCAGCACTGAAGATTTCCATTTTGCAGTGGCTATTGTGTCTCCCTAATGACCTCTTCTCCAGATCCCTTTAAGTACAGTGATTGCTATGCCCTTCATATTGTGCTTTTCTTATCAATATATAGGGTGGTAAAAAAAAACTACCTAATCCTATGGAATAAATGTTCAAGGTAGAATTTAAATACTAGTACTACTTAAAGTACTGCTTCTAGGACCAAAGAGGACACACTGTCATTGTGACTGTGACACTATGGTCACAAGCTGCAGGCATTTTAATTTGAGAATGCTGAACCAACAAAGACAATTGTAGAATTCAAGCCTGTAGTTCCAAGATGGAGCTTTCCCACACACAGCTGAAGATTCCATTAACTTTCTGAAGGATATCTTTCAGCAGTGCTATATCCCATGATCCATAAGAGAGATCTCTACTTTTTCTTAACATGTCTTTCCCTGCTCCTTTTTTTTAATGGTATTATAAAGAACAGACTTACAGTCCAAAGCCTCAGCATCGAAGCAAAACATCCAAAAGGAAATTCTCTATTATTGCTTCAAAATGTCACAGGCCATCAGTAGCAGAGCGCAAGAATCAAAATGCTAATCTGTCATTTGCATCCCATCAATTCAGCAGTGATCTGGAATCGTTCAATTTCTCCTTCCCATTTGTTCACTTGGTTCATTCTTTGCATGGTACTGTTTTATAATGAACCAAATTTAAAACTTATTTCCTTTGGGTTGAGTTGAATTGCCAGTCTCTCTCTCCATGATGGTGTCATTAGTTGTGTGAAAGTTTCTGCTTCATGAATGGTGAGAATTTGATCAATCAGCTTGGGCCCAGGCAGGGGCAATGACATGGACTAGTAACTTTTGATGAAAAGTTACCTTTAGTAACCCATCTGCTTCGATGCATACTAGTGTGTCGTGAAATTTACCAGTTGAAATGTGACATACTAGTGTGTCATTGTGAAATTTACCAGTTGAAATGTGACATACTAGTGTGTCATTGTGAAATTTACCAGTTGAAATGTGACATACTAGTGTGTCATTGTGAAATTTACCAGTTGAAATGTGACATACTAGTTCATCATTGGATGCAAATGGGTTAAGAGTGGCACTAATTGGAATGTATGGGAGGGGGGGAGAAAGAGGAGGAATAAATGTTCCATTCTTGCCCTCTTCTAGCTTTTGAAACTTTGAGTGGCTGAGCTTCCCTTCCCTTGGCCTTGCAGTGCTGAATTTTATGTCAATAAAACCTAGTTGAGTGTCAAACTTCACTGAAAGATAATCTTGAATTGTCTCTGGAGAGGCTGTATTCACCTTGCTTTCCAGTAGGCATTGATACCTGTTAGGGATCTCCATCAGCTATGAAGGCACCAAGACCCCATATGTCATGTCTCTCTAGGATTACACTAGACAGTTTTGCCATCCACTACCATGAAAAGGGCTTAAAACAATGCAAATTCAAAGAAATAGCAACATATAGAACTGAAACAGGATTCTATCACATTCTTACTGTATTGATGTTCATAATAAAAATCTGCATCATTCTTTATTACACAAGAAGACACAATTATGGCACATATCCCTCAATTATGCTGACTAGGAATGGAGTCTCCAAGGGTCATCCCACTGCTAGCAGAAGAGCACAATAACAGTGGCAAGATTAATCTATGGGCCGTAGCTTGATGAATCGGGATAACATAACAGCCATGATAATTGTAGCAATGGTGAAAAAGGTGGCAAACACATAGAAGGTGTCTTCATCAAAGACATCCTCGAAAGCTGGGAGATTATCATAAAGATTCCAAGCTACTTGATGTGAGACTTGTAACTTGTCCTGTGATACATGTTTCTTCATTTTTCTCAGCGTCTCCTTTTGCGTTCTACCTTCACTTCAAAAGGCTTTGGCTGGTCCTCTTGGTATTTTTGGAGTATTGGCTCCACAACTTTGTTATAATTTTGCAGTATGTCCAAAATGTTCAAACTGCCTGCTTTGAAGATACACTTCTGCTTGTTTTCTGCAAATAAAGCAACATTCTCAAGGTTATCTGTATTTTAAAACTCAAGTTATTCAGTCTTACCAAAATCAATGAATATGCTGGGCTCAGATCTGTCATTCACAACATCACATTTGAAGGTGCACTTCAAGTTCGTCTTCCTTATCTTGGGGAAGGATGTAATGAACATGAACTCCCTGCAAAGCAAAGCAGAAATATAGGTCATCAAAGTACAATATTAAGATGATCAATCAATCTATCTCTTATTCTGTCTGAATAGTGGAGAATGTCCTATTCAATAGTACTTAGAGAAATCAGGAAGGTTAGAGGTATCAGACATAAAAAGCAATACAATAATGCTTTTTTTTTTCTTTTTTAAAAATAAGACAAGATAAAAGGGGGTGAATACCCAAAGCAGTCAGTGTATCCACCTGAACCTGGGGCTGCATGACCTCAGCAATCCTACACTAACGACATTCACATGAAAAAGAAAGAAGGTACCAATTAGAGAAAGGGAACCAGTTGTCATTGCCCTCCTGTTTGGCCATTTATAAGCAGCTGTTCCCTTTGACCTGAAGGCCATTTGATGTTTTAAAATCCTCTTTGATCATCTCTTCCAACCCTGAGTCTGAACGTATACACTATATGATCATAAATATACCTAAGTTTTTATGTGTGAAGAAGCTGATAAAAATAAAATAAAATGGGCAGTGGTCAAGTGAGTGGCATAGGTGCATATAAAAGCTGCATTGGCTATATTGTATACACCTCCACAGGAAACAAAACAAAACAAAGGAAATTTGAAAGTCATTGCATTAGAACCTTCCCTAATGAAGTTCAAAGAGCCTCCCAAGGCACACCCGAGTTAGGCTGATTAGTCTAACATGGAAATATGACTCAGTCTTTGGCAATTGTCTCGTGTCATGATGCAATTATTCACCCAACATACTAAAACAATGATGTGCTGTTTAATGGCCTGAGGAATGGAAAAGATTGTTAAGAATTATACCCTCAAGTTAGACAAGTAAGATATGCACAAGTTAGGTAGGGACCAGGCTGGCTTAGAAAACAGAAACTCAGAATAATCACAGGCAAAGGTAGAAAATATTTCTACAATTGATCCTTCATTGGTTTTCCTGCTCATTGGCCATTGAGACATAAAGAGGAAAATAACATTTTACAACTGTCACCTCTCCATTGCTCCTGCTCAAATTGTATATCTTCCTCATCTATCAGCTTCCACAAAACCACTCCTGAAAGAAAACCAAATTTCACCCTTAATACTGTGTTCAACCCCAGCATGCCAGCAAGAACAAGTCACCTCTCCTAAAGTAAAAAGAAAAAACATCTAATAACAAAAGAAAAGGAAACAGATCAATTCACCTTCACCCATCACTTTTTACAAAGAAAGTTATATTTAAAAAATGTTGGGAGTCTCACATGAACATTCAACATTTATATAACAGGCATAGTGTCAAAACACAATCAATTACAATAAATAGTACATAAATAAGTGCAGAAAGGAGACCTTATTCAACAAGCTATGGGTAGAAGATGACGAGTATAGCATGAGCAATACTAGTGTAGTGTATCTGTTCAAGGTAGGGGTTGGTAGGGAGAAACAAAGAAGAAAAAAAATGTCAAGAGGCCCTCAGGTAAAAGTGAACAGCCACTTCTCAATCCCCAAACATGAGGGCGAAAGGGAATGATTACTGGTGTTTCTCCTTCACGGCTGAGAAATTGAAAATGTCTCTAGGCATCCATCTCGAATATGCGATCTTTTTTCTCTCTCCTCGATGAAGTCTGCCTCAGAAACTGATTGTCGTTCCTATTCTTTCTGCCCTTTTCACTTGAATGTCATGAGCGGTGGGCCGCAGAGATCCGAAACCCACAGGTAAGACAGATACACGACAGGCAAAGCGAAGGCCTTGCTATCTACCTCACGGCTTGCGCATTGGGGTGGAATGGATCGAAGCGAACGTTGACAGCTTTCACAGGCCGAAGGTCCACCTTACGGATTTGTTCAGCAATGAAGGTCTTGGTGGTGGGCGGTCGCCCCCAACGTCCTTCGAATGCTATTGCATGCCTGATGGGATTAATAACCTTCCCAAATTTGTTGATGGTAAGTTTCCTGGCCATCACGCTAGGCTCTCCATTGCGGTGGTCGACCTAAAGACGGATGCCGGAACTTACCATCAGAATATCCCCAACCTGATAACAAAGCCTCTTCCCTCTAAGGTGCAACTTCTCTATTTTCACTAAATTTAAAAGAAAATATATAAATCTTCAAAATTTGTCGTTTTATTTTCATATTATGAAAAACACTTTTCTGTGGTGAATCATTGCGCATGCCCGAAGGCGCGATGGCCGCTTCTTTGAGGTCGCCATTTTCTTTGTGTGTTTCGGTTGAACGGGAAATGGGGGTGGTGCTCGCCCCTTGATAGACTTTCAGCCGAGGAACACTTTAATTTTCAACCATGGATTCTTAGCGTTCATGTAAAGAGACACCTTTCGCACGTCTTGCGACCTTCAACTGTACCAAAGAAGAGGCTTCCAGTGCTGAAGGACCATGTATCCAGTCGGGCAGCGTAAGTTTTTAAGTTCCTGCTCTGATAGGGCGATGACCTTATTTCATGTTTAACCGTAAGCTCAGGCCTAATCATATACCTTGGCTCTAACGCGAATTCGGGTCGACTTCATACCTTTTCGGAACGACTTTGCTTCCTCCAAACCTACGAACTTTTCTATTGTAACCCTTCGCTTTTTATCGGAGTCAACGCTGTTGGTGTCAACGCTGTTGGTGTGAAGATTCGCCCCTAAAGCCTTTGACCGTGCTATGCTAACGTTTGGCCTAGTGGTAGGCCTAACATTAGCTTGGCCAATCTTGGGTAGGCATAAGTTAGGTTCTCCTATAATCATCTTATTTCATGAGCACGGGAACAGCAAGTTGAACTCCCCCCGAAAAAAAATATGGCTCAGGAAAGAAACATTTATTTTTAAGGGAAGATCACACATCAAGATGAATTCCAGAAGAAGTCACAAGGTTTTAACAGTTGTCTTCTTACAGAATCTCCATTTTTACAATTACCAACTGGAAGATTTTCATCTGGAGTAGATACTTGAGCCTTTGCTTTCATACCTGATGCCATTCTTTTACAGTACACGGTTAGGCCTACGCATTTCTCTCATTTCATCCAATAAGACTAAGCAGAAATAACAGCTGTGCCTGAAATAGCCTCATGGTGCAACTTGATGTCAAGTGTCTGCTTCCTCCTCATTGGCAGAGACCAGACAAGCTGCTTCACTTCCCACGTCGGTGATGCTCCCCCTTTATCAAAATAAAGGTGGGTTAAAACACCATCAGGCAAAAGTTTTTTGGCAAATGGATGAAAAAAGTCATGAAAATTCCTAGAAATTTCAACCACCGATCAATCAACCTGACTTTTTACATAGTCAGTGGCCATTTTGAGTTATTGCTTGCTGAAAGGGCAAATGTGAAAGGCCATACCTGAAATTTCATTTTCTAAAGGCAGAGCATTTGCCATCAAGGAAAGAATTGTCATTCTATGAAGGTGTCAATGGCTTGGCAGACAAGCATTTGCAATGTGATGCCTAAGACCCTTATAGTGGAAAATGGAAAAGGGTACCCCTCAATCCACAATAATTAGTATTGAAATAAAGAAAAAGCTGTAGATATATATATAATCCCATGGTAATAACTCCCTCTCTTTTAAGGCAACTCACTTTTTTTTTTAAATTATGGGAATGAAGCAAAATTGCTTCTAGCCTTCATTTTGATGCTTTTTTTTTATCACGTAGCTATGGTTGCTTGACAACAGTCATTCAACTAATAATTATAATAATAAGGAAGAAATGGAATTTTTCATGGTAAGAGTTAAGAAAAAAACTGGGATTGTGTCAATGTACCGGCAACCACCAGTATTGGCTGTTGGTGTTGCACCATCAGAAGGGTTACAAGCTGCCAATGCCAATACCAATACCCAAAGGAGGAAAACAAGATAAAAATTGTGAGTGCATAAATATGGTTAGGAGCCAGCCCTTCAGTCTTGTTTCAAGCCATTCCTGCCAGCCTCTCCCATACAAAAATAAATATTGATCAGATTACATTTCAGGCCAGTCGTAGGAATCGGTGGAGGAAAGTTGCAGTAAGGAATGGGAAATTGTTGCACCTCCTTTTGTGTTATGATTTTGTAAGAGGTGTGTCATGGAATGCTCAAAACAGTAGTAATACACAAGGTAACTTATGGACACATTGACAGGATTAAAAGTGGTCTCTATCGTTTTAAGGAGGTCTAATGATTACATTGCTTTCAAATAAAGGAATTTTTGAATCAGTGTGCAATTTCATGTTACTTTCTTCTTAATCTACCAATCACAATCAGCACTGGCACCAGCTGATCCATATGAAATCAAAATCTTTCACTGGCCATAAAATCTTCACTAGAAACTAACATTTGCCGTATCTGAGCTCAGCATCCAAAGATCTAAAGCAGCATGTGTGATTTATGAAACAAATCATCATGCTTATCACATAACTTCAAGAGACCTCTAAAATGACTATAGTTGTTGTTTTGAAAATAGTTGTTTTGTTTGTTTTATTTTTATTTTTTTTTTTAATACAAGGATCAGGAGAATGGGAAACTTTTCCCTGAACAAATTTTTCTTTTGACCCAAAATGTGCATAGTACAATACCTAAGATTGTCTCATGAAGCCCTTGCTACTTTCTCACCACTCAGTTAGATTTTGCCTGTTATTGTTTGAATTTATTTGGCCAAGAAATCTTGGGTTTTTTTTTTCTTCTTTACTTTCTTCCACTGGTTTTGTTGACTATAAAAAATTGCAAGACCTATTATCTACTAATTATCTTCTGCAGATTGCAGCATATATCAATATGAATGTTTTACGGTACAAAGTTTTTCTGGGAAGGTTGTTCTATCCTGATCTGACAATTATACATTCCCCCCCCAAAAAAATTTTCTGACCTCTTGGAAGAGTGCTTGAAATTGCAGGTTTCATGTACTGGAATTTTTTCCCCTGTGCCACCTATCTAAACCCACCAAATCATTATGAATAACCACAGAGGTGAGGAACCAAATTATACTTACTGACCTTGTTCATTTGAGACTCTTAATGGGAACCATGAGGTCAGAAGTATGATCACAACTTTGGGAATATTTTGATCCTGCTGCAAGCCACAGTTCAGGCACCTTGTTGTAATGCATATTAATGCTATTTTTTGTTAATTTTTTTCTTATTGCTCATATTTACTGACTAAATCATGAAGTTTAGGACCCAGAACAAAAGTTTCCATATAGGTATTGAGTAACAGCAAATAGAAATGTCTACTCCAGTGTTTCCCAAGCAGTGTGCCACAGCACACTGGTGTGCTGTGAGATATGAGAGTTGACAAAGAAAAACTAAAACTAAAAAAACTTAAAACAAGAGGGAATGCCATCTCTCAGTGGAAAATGTTGGAGCTGAGAGTTGCACTATCACGCCTTGTATTGAACTGTTCTGTTCAGCAAAGCAAGCACGAGTTTCCCATTGAAAGTAAGTAAATGGCTGAGTGTGCCATGGAAAGTTCAAGTGTCCTCATGTACCACAAATAAAAAAAAAGATTGGGAACTACTGGTCTACTCTACTGATAGCAGTAGTTAAAACCTGCTGTTAGATAACAGTGCTTGAGATGAAAGCACAAGGATTCTTGAAGGGTGACAAGTGAGATTTTAAAATGTTTTTTTTTTTTACGTCCTTCTTGGAAAAGGAATGAGAGGAAAGTGTCATAATTGTATTGGAAGTGCAGCCTAGACTTTGTATGTGAAATGTCATATTACAAGCAGGTTTGACAGCAAAGAAGTTGTTAAGCCTGTCTGAGACCCTGGCCATTGGATTTTGACCCATGGGTATACTCTACAGTACCTGTACCCTGGTAGCTTTAGTTGTCTATATTAAAGTAGGACATGTTATATTCCATAAATTGAATATGGCACACCACAAAAAAGTCTTTCTGGAAATAGAATGACTCCAGGTGCAAGGAAGACCCCAGTGAAAAATCTGGACTCATCATTTAGATCCCAATTGAAGTGTTAGCAGTTTCCTAGGGGTCCAGTGACCAGTTTGAGAATTGCTGCTACAGGCTAAATATATCAGTTTGCTTTGGACTTTAATATGTTTGGTTTAGATGAGCAATAGTGTTGTGCCAATAATTTATTTCCTGGGAAAAATTAATCATGGTTGAAGTTTAAGATCTTGTTTGTTAAACGCATTTACCTGAAGAGACAAGACTACCTTATTCTAATGGGATTAATTCTAAGTGACATTAAATGCAGAAGACAATTGATGTAAGTCATGATATAATCCTAAAGCAATTGCCTGACTTAATATTCATGAAATGTTTTTTGTACAATATTGAAGGATTAATGCAGATTCTTCAATTTTGTAACTCAAAAATGTTTGCCTCATTGTAGGAACACTTAAGGAAGAAAGTGCTATTCTCTGTCTGATCCTGTTTCCCAAGTCCTTTTCTTGAAAGGAGGACTTCATCCTGCCATCCTCATTTGTTCTCCCTACCCCATCACCCTTTCCCATCTTCATCCCATTTGTATGTATGAATCCCCCTGTTCTTCTCACAGATGGTACAATATATTACAGATTTTGGTAGTGTACTAGCTTGAAACAGTACCTGTAAATGTGGGGTGTTACAGCTCCTGGGGCACACCCTGGAGCTCCAGGGACGGTGGGCCCACCTCCAGCTCCTATTGGGGTCCCACCTGCAATTGGCCTCCTTGCTCCTGCTCCACCTGCCACTGACCTACCGAGTTAGTCTCATTATCTTCATCTCAGTAACATATATATCATGGATAGATTGAATAAGACCTTGGTTAAATTTCACATCACTTTTCTTCAGCATTTGTATGTCCCCGTCGCCCAAACCTCGGCAAGGAAGGCCGCCCGATTGTCTTACGGGCCAACCACTTCCAGATCTCAATGCCCAGTGGTTACATTCATCACTATGATGTTAGCATTCAACCTGACAAGTGTCCTCGCAAAGTGAACCGAGAAATTGTCGAGACCATGGTGCGAGCCTATAGTAAGATCTTTGGCAATCTTAAACCTGTCTTTGATGGCCGAAGCAACATGTACACACGGGACCCTTTGCCCATTGGGCATGAACGAGTTGAGCTAGAGGTAAGTTTAACCTGTGCCAAGGATTTTGTCATCCTTTATAGGGTGTAATGTGGATATTAGTGAAGAACCAAAACTTTGAATACTTTAAGGTGACCCTTCCAGGAGAAGGGAAGGATCGGGTCTTTCGTGTCAACATCAAATGGGTGGCCCAAGTCTCACTATATGCTCTAGAAGAAGCTCTTGAAGGACGTTCTCGAACAATCCCTATGGATGCTATCCAGGTTTATTATTTTTCATCCTTTTAATGAATGCAGATTGTTTTCTTCCCTCTGCAGCCAAGTCTTGTGTGAATGTGCACATTCATTTTCTGATAACTGTTTGATTTGTGACATATTGGTGTAATGTCATCTATAGGCTCTGGATGTGGTGATGAGGCATTTGCCTTCAATGACATATACCCCGGTGGGTAGGAGCTTTTTCTCTGCCCCAGAGAACTATTACCATCCTCTTGGTGGAGGACGGGAAGTGTGGTTTGGATTCCATCAGTCTGTGAGGCCATCACAATGGAAGATGATGCTCAACATTGATGGTATGCTTGAATTTTGTGATATTTTTAATCCATTAGTAGGCAGATTTCTTTCATGGAAATTTTTTATTTTTTCCCCTAGTGTCTGCCACTGCATTTTATAAGAGTCAGTCAGTCATCAAATTCATGTGTGAAGTACTGGACATCCAAGACATTGGGGAGCAACGCCGTCCTCTTACTGACTCTCAGCGAGTGAAGTTCACCAAGGAAATCAAAGGACTGAAAATTGAAATCACTCACTGTGGAAGCATGAAGCGCAAGTACCGTGTCTGTCAGGTCACTCGTCGCCCAGCGCAGATGCAGTCGTGAGTAGACATGCATATGGTGTGCTTGTAATTCTTTTTCCTATTGTTATGGAGTGTAGCATGTAACCTGGTTTCTTTCTGCAGATTCCCTCTGCAGTTGGACAATGGTCAAACTGTGGAGTGTACTGTTGCCAAGTATTTCCTAGACAAATATCATATGAAGCTCCAGTTTCCCCATTTGCCATGCCTTCAAGTTGGCCAAGAGCATAAGCATACATACCTTCCTCTTGAAGTGAGTAACATCACTGCATTGTAGTATCAAGCTGGTTTCAAGGTTTTTTTTAAATCATAATATGCACTGCTTGGTTGTCTGTTGTGTAGGTGTGCAACATTGTTGCTGGACAAAGATGCATCAAGAAACTGACTGACATGCAAACATCCACCATGATCAAGGCAACAGCTCGTTCAGCTCCTGATCGAGAGAAAGAGATCAACAATCTTGTCAGGAAAGCTGATTTCAACAACGATCATTATGTGAAGGAGTTTGGATTGAACATTGCCAATGCCATGATGGAAGTGCGTGGTCGGGTTCTTCCACCTCCTAAACTGCAATATGGTGGCAAGGTATGCTGATGACTTTCTTGAAAGTATGAATTATCTTTATTGTTACACATTAGTGGGTCCATGATTTGTCATTGCCCTGCATTTGAGATAACTTTTTCCCCCATGCAGACTCGTCAGCAGGCACTGCCAAATGGAGGAGTGTGGGACATGCGTGGGAAGCAGTTTTACACTGGCATAGAGATTCGTGTCTGGGCTATAGCATGCTTTGCTTCTCAACGCATGGTGCGAGAGGATGCCCTCCGCAGCTTTACTACTCAACTCCAGAAGATCAGCAATGATGCTGGGATGCCCATAATTGGAGGTCCATGCTTCTGCAAGTATGCTACTGGTCCTGACCAGGTGGAACCCATGTTTCGGTACTTGAAGAGCACATTTGAGGGACTACAGCTGGTGGTGGTGGTCTTGCCGGGGAAGACGCCGGTGTATGCGGAAGTGAAACGTGTGGGAGACACCGTGCTCGGCATGGCAACTCAGTGCGTTCAGGCCAAGAATGTCAACAAGACTTCTGCTCAGACTCTGTCGAATCTCTGCCTAAAAATCAATGTGAAACTTGGAGGAGTGAATGCCATCCTTGTCCCAACCATCCGACCAAAGGTATTGTTGCAGGACTGGGAGAATGAAATAAGAGGGAACAGAGGGATTAATAGAGATTAATAGACTAGAGGGAAAGAGGGAAAATGTGTTTGTTCAATGGTACAGGTTTTCAATGAGCCGGTGATCTTCCTTGGAGCTGATGTTACCCATCCACCAGCGGGAGATAACAAGAAACCGTCTATAGCAGCTGTGGTTGGAAGCATGGATGCACATCCATCTCGATATGCTGCTACAGTTCGGGTTCAGCAGCATCGTCAAGAGATCATCCAAGAGCTGGCTGCAATGGTCAGGTGAGTTGTTAAAATGCACATGACTGCTTTGAAGCAAGCCATAAGCTGAGAGTGTACTAATGCTGTGCAGCATGTTGAGTTAAATGTGAACCATTCTTACATGTAAGACAGCATTGCAGTGCAGCATCTTCTGGAAGGAACATGCAGGTTATTGGTGTGTGGACTGCTTTACTGTGTCCAATGTCCATCACAATGTATACCAGGAGTGTGAACTAGGCCTTAGAGTGACTATTGACTTTCATACCAGCTGTAGTTTGCTGTGCACTTTTGGCAAAATACTTTATAGGTCTTTCAAAATAATCTGCACACATTGCATGTTTCACTATTTCCTGTCCATCGTTGGAAGGGTATGAAAGATTCTGCAACATATACAAATAATAATGAGTGAGCTGCAAAGCATTTTGTTGCTTGTGCCTAGCATATGAATCTTACTGAGAAGCACTGTAAATGTGTCATGGATTTGAATGCAACATCATGTTTCTTCCCTTTAGGGACCTGCTGGTGCAGTTCTACCGATCCACACGTTTCAAGCCTAATCGCATTGTTTTCTATCGAGATGGAGTTAGTGAAGGCCAATTCCAAACTGTGAGAAGTTCATTCCTTGTCCTATATATACAGGGTGTGCCAAAAGTAGGTATACAGTTGCCAAGAATTTCACCAAAGGTGGATAGGCCAGCAAGGACCAATCAAATGGCCACCATGGTCGCCAGACCTAACACCCATGGAATTTTTCTTTTGAGGCGTCATGAAGGACAAGGTGTACAGCAGGAAACCTCGTACCATTGATGATCTCAAACACTTCATCACTAACGCATTTCAGGAAGTGGACACAAAGATCTTTGTGACAAAGTGTGTTGCAATGTGGCAGACAGACTCCAGGAATGTGTGAACAATGAGGGCAAACTCTTTTAGCATCTAAGGGATTAACTTTTTCTTGTGTTTCTATCTCTTACACAGTTCATACATACAACTGTAAACCTACTTTTGGCACACGGTATATATTGTTTTACAATAGGGTTATCAGCATTAAGACATTGAGGTGTCCTGAAGTATCTCATCTACCTGAGTGTGTTTGGTTGATGTGACAGTTTAGAATTTTGATACTGTACTTCTCTGTTAAAGTGCATTTTGAGTATAAGTTCCATTAGTAAAAATCATGCCAAGTCTCTGTAGCTGCTGATTGGGAACCAAAATAAGCATCCGTTCACTGATAGGCTGATCAGTAATGATCACCTCTTATGTGAAGATTTTTCATATACCATTCTTCCTGATATTGGCGTAACTTTTTGGATGATCCAATGTGAATAGTGTGTCTCATACTTGGTGCAGATGTAATTAAGCCATAATTTGCTGGATGTTCATTTGCAGGAGAAAATTATGAGGCCCTCTCAAAATTAATCACTGAGGATCCTGATGCAATAAATATCTATCTGTCCATGCTGTTTACAGGTCCTGCAGCATGAACTCACTGCCATCAGAGAAGCTTGCATCAAGTTGGAACATGATTACAAGCCTGGGATCACCTTTATTGTTGTCCAAAAGAGACATCATACCAGGTAAAAACAGGGGCATTACTGTCCATGGTTGAGCCATATCACCATGACAGGGAAAGATATATGGTTTCTCTTTTCTCTATTACAGGCTGTTTTGCTCGGACAAGAAGGACATGAGTGGGAAAAGTGGAAACATTCCAGCTGGGACAACAGTGGACGTGGGGATCACTCATCCAACTGAGTTTGACTTCTATCTTTGCTCTCATCAAGGGATCCAGGGGACAAGCCGACCATCACACTATCATGTCCTCTGGGATGACAACCACTTTGACTCGGATGAGCTCCAACAGCTCACTTACCAACTCTGTCACACTTATGTCAGGTGCACTAGAAGTGTCTCCATCCCTGCTCCTGCCTATTATGCACATTTAGTGGCCTTCCGTGCTCGCTATCATCTTGTTGAAAAGGAACATGACAGGTAAGATGCTGCCATTCTGTCTTTTCTTTGTTGACCAAGAAAGTGCTACAAAATTTGGCTAAATTTCTAATTTTGTATTTGCAGTGGTGAAGGTTCACACCAGTCAGGGAACAGTGAGGACCGTACCCCGACAGCAATGGCCCGTGCTGTCACCGTCCATCCTGATACCACCAAGGTCATGTACTTTGCATAATGATCATCTAGACTGGGACCTTTATAATTCCTTTATTGACTTGTCTTCTCCCGTTTTTTCTCATTTCGGCGGCATCCCATCCCATCCTGTCGTTGTGTCCATCAATGAGACTGACATCTGACAGGAGATTGGAAGCTTGGGGAATGCAGTGATGGGAGATCTGATGGCATTGATCACTCTGTGATAACCTTGGCTCGAGTTTTTGTGTTTTTGCTACCGGTACCGTCAGGTGGGGTCTTGATCTCAAATATCTACTGCTTCCCTAAGCACCAGCTCCTTGTCAGGTGTACGTCAGTTGCCATCAGTGGAGTTTTGCTATGTATGTCTGTCCCCAAAAGCAGCAATTTTGTGTAATGGGTCTCGTTCTCTGAGACTCGATGTCATTGAAAAAGCAGAAGTTGGGGAAGGGAAGCCTCTCTGCTCCTTGTATATACCATTTATACATTCACATTTACTTTTGACATTAAATACCAACCATGAAGCCTGAAAATTGAAATCTCAGCTAGATTACTCTTAATTATTCTGATTATGGATGCAAGAGAGCGAGAAACCAAACAACTCATTCAGGAGATGAGCAGAGAGCATTCAAGTCTTCATTCCAAATAATTGGGTGCATGGATTGTATATTATCAAGTCTGTGACCATGTGTGTTCCTTTTTTTTTTTCCTTTTGCTTCTGTGGCAAGAATGATGAATGGTGATTTTTTTTCCTCTGGTGTCTTTGGGAAAGAATTTGCATTGTCTTGCATTTTCCATCTGAATCATGTCATGTGACAGTGACACCGAGGGAGAAAAAAAGGAAATGAGAGAGAAAGGGGTGAGACTCTGAGACTCTTACTCACAATTGCATCTTCACTCTAACTTGTGGGTCTCGCAAGTCCTCCTTTTTCTCTCCCTGCCAATGTTGTTGTTCCTGTTGTCAGGCTCAAAGGAAGCCTCCTTTCTCTCTTTCTTTCTCTCCCTTTCTAGGCAGCCATTAGTGGAGCAAATCAATGTCGATCCAGATTTTATTGCTTTTTCTTGTCTTTACGTTTTTCATACGAGTACAGAATGCCACCTTACTCGATCATTGTTCTGCTTCATTCATGCGCGCGACAGGAATCCGAAGTTTATCCTCTTCACGAATTATGTACAAACAAGATTGGAGATGGAAAAAAAGGAAAATCATAAGTCAGCCAATTGCCCCCTCTCTAGAGTCTTGCAGACTTCCGGCCCGACGACATATCATCACATATCGCAAGTTACCACTTCTCTCTTGTCCCTTACATAGAACGAATAAAGATTTTCTCCGGTGGAAAAAAAAAAAAAAATTTGAGAAAACCGGCATATCCCACAGAAGCCACCATATCCTTGCCGCTTTGGGGCTCATTCTTCCCCTCGAATCCCAACCATCTTGCTGTCTGGTCTGCATGAATGTGCATGTATGTGTGAAAGCAAGGTCTGCAAGAGATTTTTATGTGGAAATTTTAACCTGGGCATTCGAAGCGTAGGACAGCTTAGTACAAGAATTTGACATCTACACCAATGCAAGATGGACGGGATTCTGAGACAGAACCTCCCAAAGCGGCAGGTGCTCTCTTCCATCCACATTGTTCTCACTCAACTGCTCTCTCCATTCTTTAGATTCCTGTCAATGTCCAAAGGTAAATAACGAAAAAAGTGAAAGTATTTCTAGCGCTCCATATCATCCTGGGCCATATCTTCTTTTTCTTTGCTGCTTCCATGTCTTTTTTTGTCATTCAAGAAATTAGAACTCATCCCACCCGTGTTGCCCTGTCCTCTCCATTCGGCACTTGTAAGGTGGCATTGGAGAACTTTTTACCTCGTCGGACTGGTAGCCTAGGTCTTAAATTTTGTCCTGTATTTATTAAATGAAATAAAATAAAATTGTTTTCCATGCGGGAAAATGGGATTTTATTTTTTCATGTTGTGTCTCGTGGGTTATCGGCATCCACTTTGCTAGGAACAAATGTATAAGTGGAAATGGATTCCGATCTGATTGTATTGTATTGTCCCATGCACAAGAGAAAAATCTCTCCAGTAACTACGCAATCGTGTATACCGAGTGAGAAAAAAAAACAAAAAAAAAACAAAACGCTCCGCACTTATATATTCTTTGGAGTTCATGAGAAAGCAGATAGCACGGCAAAGTTTATTTTTACAACTATTACGCATCCTTTAAATGTGCTGAAGTTCGTGTTCATTTTTCTTCGGTCGTTTTAGCAGACGAGCGAAAACGCGAAGGCTATTCGAATTTAATTTTTGCGCGATGAAACATATCGGCAGGAGTGTGGTTGGTACGAGTCGAGCGCACCCATCTAGGGCCAGAGCTCCACCGTCTGCTCGCGAAGATGCTCTTTGCGAAAGGATGGGGTGGGGCAAGAATATCCTGGCAAGGGATCAAAAAAACGTAGGTCTATCTTTGAGAGACCGATTCATCCGGGGGGGAGAGAAGGAACGGAAGGAAACCGCGTTCGTGTGGAAGAAGTCGTTTCTCGAGATGATGATCCTGGGATGCGGAATTTCCAGATGGAAGGGCGAGTCGGAGATCCGTTCGGAGGAAAAAGGCCCCCGTGAAGAATTGCGATCCCGATTCCAATTGCTTTCGTAAAATCACTGAAACTAAAACGGCCGAAGATGAGCGAGCAAAAACTTGAGGATGCTCAACGGATGCATAGACGTCTGTGAAAGAAACTTGATCGTGCTAGCTGCTGTTTCGGAGGCGCCACGAATTTTTAAAGAGCGGCACTTTTTTTCCTTTTTTTTTTGCTTCATCCGGTATTTCGTCACACGACGAAAGTGCGAAAGATAATCCCCAAATGAAAACTGAACGAAAAAATTGGGGGAAAAAAAAATAGCATCGCTATAAAGTCAAACTTTACGGGTAGCTCGTATCATTTACGAGAACCGAATCGGGACGCTGTAAACACCGTATGTCGTCGTAGCCGAACGAGATGCGATTGTTGGGCGTTTTGGTTGCGGTATTTCACTCGTTCGTCTGCCCAAAGTCGATTGTATCTCGGGTTTCGGGTCGTTTTCACGTCGAGCGCACCTATGTCCTTGCCGGGCTTCACGTGAATCCCCCGGAAAAGATTTCCCTGCACTCCGTCCCCGTCGTGACCCGAGAAAAGCACTCGTCCAGAAAGGGAATTTCCCGATCTCGAAACGTGCCCGATCGTACGTGTGATATTTTTCACTCGGATCCTGTCGACGAGGGATCCAAGTGCAGGTGTCTAGAAGACACGTTTCCTTTCGAAGTTCCCCGCGATCTCGAGAAGAGATGTAACCCGACGTACACCGCGTAGGTTCTCGTCCGTCCATTCCACGATGGCCGTGAGAATCGATGGAAAAGGTCTCGACTCGATGCCATTTAGACACCGTTTCGGCAGGTGGTTCTCGTCCGCGCGACTCACACGCGGTGGCCCCAGTGACGGATTCCATTCGTTCCATCTGTGCCGTTCCTCGACCTCTTCGTAGCCGGACGCCCTGCACGATCGGTTGCATATGGATCGCGACGGGAACGGAGCGGACGAGTCGCAATTTTTCGTCGGTCGTCTCTCTCGACGGCAAATCGGTGACACGGAAACGCCTTGTGCCGGTCGAGCTTCGGACGGCGGCACCGCCCCTCTCCCGTTCCCGGGTGTTTGTCCTTTTCCCACCTCCACCCTCTCGTCCTTCGTCTCGCGGAGCGACTCCGAGAGCTCCCGGATCGGCTCGCGCACCCCGCCCACTCGCTCCCACATTCCGTCTGGGACATGCGACGAACCCCCTCGCTCGCCGCCGACTCTTTCCGGAGCGTACTCGTGACACGAGTACGAAAGTACGAGAGTCGCACGTGCTGGGCTTTCCCTCTGCTCTCGACGGAAGCGATCGGGACGAACACCGACCTCGTCCTCGCGTTGCTCATCGAATCACGATCGATGGGACTGCTTCAGCTTACAGAGTTCGTGCAACCTTCTGATTCTGTTTCCCCACAGAACAATCATTGAATACAGTTTTTTTTTTACATATTTATTTAATATTTTCCATCCATTCCAGCAACAACAAAAAAGTGCGCCTGAATCCTAGACGACTTATTTATACTTTTCAGATTCGCACTCAGCAAAAAGATAGATGATGCGGCTCCAAATCTCTTAGCAGAAGAATTCCGTAAGAATTCCGCACTTTCGCCCCCGAGACCTAATTGATAGATAGTAGCTAAGTTTTCCCTTTTATCTCATCTCGATAAACGGGGTCGAGTGCATAGGGGCGACTTTCCAAACGTTTATTTCGTGACTGACCACGTCTGCCTCGACCCTGCAAAAGGGTAAGTAAGGTTAACTCCCAGTTTCACTTTCCCACCCTATGTAAGATGGATACTGAAAGTGACTTGGAGTGGATAGAAACTATAGTCCCTCGTGGATTCAGAAATCATTGTTCTCGTGAAGAATCTTATGAAGCAGTCGAATGATGATGGTATTAAATACACAAATTAGGTCATTACATACACAAATTGGCTTTTAAAATTTTCATCAGAACGAACTGCTTCCGAAGGAAGATGGTCTAACCAAATGAAACCACATAATACAAGGCTGTGACATTTTTTTAAAGATCCATTTCGTTTGTCCGAAATAGATGGATTCTGGAGACGGTGAATCCGAGCCTCCCAGTCCCTGTACAGTATTTCTTTTTCTTCTTCATCCTGGCACCCCCAGTCTCCGGCACGACCAGCCGCGATTTTTCCTTCTATATCAAGGCCACGAGTTCAAAAATGTTCTAGTGGCTCCTCTGGGCATACATCCGTCTTACACAGGGAGGGATAGTGAAACCGGGAGTTGACCTTGCCTCCCCTTTTTGAAAGGTTGATGCAGATATGGGAACGAGCGATGAAAATGAGGCGTGGAAAGTCGCCCCTGTGCACTTTCGCTCCGATCGTGATTGGGTCAAAGATTAAATATACATCTTGTGATTCTTGTCAATCGGAATACGGGGGCGAGATTCCACTGGGGCGAAAGTGGAAGTAACCGAAGAATTCCATCTCCCAGAAGCATGGGGAAAGGAGGAAGGGGGGGGGGAAGGAAGGAGAAAGAGGAAATTCTGCCCCATTCGCCTCAAAACTACCTTGGAATTCGCATTAGGAAGGAATCCTTGCAAAAACCCGAACGTGACACGAGTTATGTCACCTGTACATCAGATCCTGATGTACAGGCGAGGGGGAACTTCGTGGAACAAGAGAAACGGTGTAATGGACGGCAAAACCTGTACTTTCGTTCTGTACGAACGAATGAAAGGGGCGGAAAGTTTTTTTTTTTTCGAGCCAGCGCCAATCAGCAGAGGACCGGCAAGAAGCCGGCCGTGATTCTTGGCTAAAAGCCATTCTTCGTATCGTTTAAGACAAGAGCATCCAAACTTTTGGGTCAAGGAGATCCCGGGCCTTCGGTGGGTTAGCCAATAATAGGCAAGAAAGAAAATCGGTATCTCAGATTTGTCTCAATCATTTTCCCGGAAACAGTAACCCAGACTCATGGAAATTTAGCAATATTTTGTCGATGGGGCGAAAGGTTAAGCATTCCATTCTGATGCTGTCTAATTGACAACATTGACATTTTCATTATTTAATTCCGGGGATGACTGAAAAATGCGCTTTTTTTATTTTCAGGGGTGTATCTTTTTTTTGGCATGTGACGGCACTATTCTCCTTCCCGGGAGTTTGTACTGGTATTAAGGATAAAACCGTGGGGACTTTTTTTTTCGGCAGGTTGTAGCAACGTGGCCGACAAAAGATTTCCTCATGTGTTTCAGGAATGGTTACTTCTAGCATTACGACCAAAGAAATGAATAAGATCTAGAAAAGTGTGAACCTGTGGAATTGCGAGATGCTGTGGCATTGATTTTGCAAAAATTTCGTGTTCAAAATCGACGAAACATAACTTATTTCCCTGAAAATCGCTGTGCGGAGACGTTTCGATTGAAGATTTCTTCCTGCACTATCCTATCATTGCCGGACCCACACCCTCGCACGGCCCACTGTGGGGCCGGGAAATTGAAAACTTACTGACAGGTGTGATAAACATTAAAAAAATTGACTCGTGATTTTTTTTTTCTGGTGTGCGGACGCAAAATGGAGTTTGAATTTCTTACATGAAAGAAAAAGTGAAATTCCCAAATTCCCTAATGGGCCGCACTTTGAGCACCCCCAATTTAGGACATAGCAAACGCACGTGTGCACACGCTGACGGCGTCAGTGAAACGTCTCACCGGTTCAAGTTCTTTCAAGTCTTTACCATGACCGTCTTCGTTCTGCGCATGCATTTATCGATATTTTCTCCAGGTATGTCCTACATATTTCGCTCGAGGCAGCTCTAAATAACGTGAAAGCGAAATACTTGCTTTGTAATTCCGTCATTGATCCCCCCCCGATAGTAAAAAAGAGTGAAGGGGGCGCGAAGGGCCCGCCTTCGATGGTGGGGGTCTTGTTTCGATTGCAGTTCTCTCGCGAAAATTCTTCAACCTTGCAATCGTTTCGCTAACAACTGTGCTGTTTCACGATGTAAAAAGTCACTGCAAATTTGGTGTGACTTTTGCCTCACGCCGAAAATAAAAATCATCCAGGCGCTGCGTCCCCTTTCATAGTTCCTCTACAAATCTCCCGTAACATGTAATTTTCCTCGTGATGTTTTCTGTGCTGTTCTGCACGTCGTGCACGTCCGGTTCGCACAGTTGATCGTTGTTGAACGGCGGGGTCCGAGGCGGGATCCTCCGGTCAACGCGCTGCGCACAAGTTAGGTCCCAGCGTTCTCGAGGAAAACAAAAAGAGAAAGGTCTGGGACCAGACTCGTGGGATCCTGCACTATCCTATCCTATGCATCGCGCAAGATTCTTTCCTCTCCTTCCTTTTCTTTTTTCGAGGTCTGCTGCATTCTCTTGGCGAAAGTAGGAGACCATGAATCATTAAGTAAAACTTCTGATAAAGACAGATTCTGCAATGCCACCGATTTAGGAGCAGATTGTGAACTTCGTGAAAGCATTTTAAATCATTCCTCCTCGGCAGTCAGACGGACTCACCCGTGTATTCGGTAAGGCATTCACTTGGTTCGTTTTCATTATTGACAGTATGGCCCTCAAGCATTTCGATTGTAAACGCCCTAGAGTCAATCTGAAGCAGTCAGAATTCACCGGAAAGTAAGACTAAAAAAGTCTCATTGCTCAAAACAAGAAGGGAAGTGGCAAATCTGGACAAGAAATGAAATTAATAGAGATTAGAAGAAACTAACCTAGCAACTTCAAGTCCAAATCAATTATACAAAGGCTGATGTTTTAATTGTATTTTTGTTGGATTAGCTAATATGTTTCATAAGGACATTAATTTTAATTATATTATTTGAGAATTGATTTGAGCAACAACTTGTCAATCTTCTGTAAATCTTATAAACTTAAGTTGTTGAGCTGAACTTGATATGCCAGTGTAGGTGCATTCACTTCTTTGATGCCACATTTGAACTTAGAACTGCATGGCAATGTGCTAAGCCAACCCCCATGAGATCAATGCAATTACCAGTCTGCAAAATGTTTCTCATCTTCCTATTCTTCAATTTGCCATCCCATCTTCATGAGAAAAAAAATTGAATGAAGGCTGAATAAATGAGAATTCTGATAAGGCGAAATTTTTTTTTATTGCTCTTCCATGCCCAATTGGTTGAAATAACATGGGTGACTAGCATAAAGCTCAACACTTGATATAAGAAAGTAAATCTTCCCTCTCCAATCAACTGACAATAAATGAACAGGACAAACAAAATCACCTGGTTAAATGGCAAACAAATAGAGATCAAGCCGTGAGGATGACAGCAAAGCCTCAATGGTCAATTGGGGTCAATCCTGCTTCATGGCATTTTGTGCAGCTCTTTTTCTCTGCTGACGAATTTGCATCTCTTTCACCTGTACCATGAGTCGTGAGCTCTGATACAACCAGTTTCCCTAAGATTTATGGAAAAAAGCACATCAGGCAACTCTTTTAAACTTCACCCCACCAGTCACTCCCATGAAGACTCACAACAATGATTATGCAGTTGATGAGTGCAGGGACTGAGAAGAAAATAGAGATGAAGAGACCTTGGCTGTCAAAGTACTGTTGTCGAGAAAACCTTTCCCAGTGCTGTGCAGCAAGCATGTTGATGGTCTCGGAGAAATAAACACCCACCACTGGGAAAAATTCAATGCCTCCTCATATTCAATTTGACATTATAGATTCAATAGGGTGCAAAGGAATTTATTAGGCCAGTCTGACTCACAGAGAGTGAGGAAGAGGAAGATCTGTATCCTACTGTTGCGTCTTGTAGCCACAGTAGTTATGGTAGCAAGAATATGTAATAATATGAGAGCCATCAGCCATGGTTCTGTCCAGTCAATCTAGGAAGAAGATTCCAGGACTTGTGTTCATGAAATATGCAAAATTTCAATGACAACATAGTGTTATTACCATAGTGTTACATCTGATTGAATTCAAAGAGCAACATAAGCCTCATGCATGAAGGATATCCAGCATTATTTTGTGCAGTCAAGGCTCAGCCCCACCTCTTCCTAAGCGAAGGCATGCACTAATTTAATAACTTAATACTGTAATTGTATAATCTACCAATTATCTTGATGAAATACTTATTTTCTATTGAAAATTTATACTTGAATAGATTGGGTGGTGAATCTATACTTCAATATGTGAAAAGTAGAAGCATAAAAAATAATAAACTAAATTGAGGATCAATAGGCTCAATTGTAAAAAGCAAGTTTTTACAATTGCTTTGTACTATCATACCACTCAAATGACACTTTTCAATTTTCAAGCTAAGAGGAGAGTATGGACCAATTAAAAATTTTATCAAAAGATTATGGCTTTGCCTAAGCATAATAAATAAATAAATAAAAATTATTATCAATTGTAATACTATATACCAGGGGTGCCCAACCCGCGGCCCGCGAGGTGCTCACAAGTGGCCCGCAAAGCCCTAACCCACAATAAATACCCTTAGGTTTCCTTAAAATAGTCTCCTTCAATACTGATGACTGGCCTGCGATGGCTGCGGCAGTGAGCTATGTAGCCCCCTAGCCAAAAAGGTTGGGCACCACTGCTATATACAAAGTAAAGTATTAAAGATGAAAACATATCATATTATATAATCAAATTCAGCTGATGAGGAAGGTATGCCATATTTTTAAAGCAAATTTACAATAAGCCCACAACAATAGTTAAACAATGTGACACACTATAGAACCAATTATGTCATTTTTAGCATTGTAAACCTATCACTTCAAATCCCATGCAGCAGTAAGGTCTGATCCATGGAGAGATGATTGGGCTGGGATAAATGACAATGATACAATTATTCATCACATCTGCACTTGGCTTAGAAACTCACTTTGCGAAAAATCTCCAGGACGATGTCAACATCCAAAGGTTCCCAAGCTCGAGCATCTTCTCTCGAGTTGCTCATCTCCTGGCACAGACGTGAAGCAAGGTAATGGCACGACAATGCTTGGATGACGAGAAGACCGCACGTGAGCTTGACTGGGGAGCTCACGTTAACTGTGCACAGGCCCGAGGCCTGGGGTAATCTAGGTTGGGTCTGGAGCCTTCAGCAGAGCTGGCAGCTCATCTTTAACAGAGAAACAAGAGAAGAGGCTCAACAGGCTGCGCCCGTAGGGGAAAAAAGCAACGTAGCCCTATATTGATTGTAGAAAGTGTGGTGTCAGGTTAAGGACATACGTGAGCATGAGCCAGCAGGAGTGTTCGCGAGCTGCCATGTTTAGATCAGGGTTGCTAATTCTGTGTGATATATTACAAAAACCAATGTGCTTGGCCAAAAAACAGGGCGAAAGGAACCTAAAAAAATAGTATATTAAGAAATTAGGCATCTAGCTGTGGGTTCTCCATGGCTATACTCTAAACAATGGCAATATTGGAGATGGGGCGCCTGACCCCGCCCAGATTCATTGGTTCAGTAACGTAAAAGTTAATTTCTATGAGTAATACAAATAACAAGCTGATAGATTAGTACATTTTCTTCTTGAGATAGCTTAGAGAACCTTCCCGTTTAACCTTTTCTATCTCCATCAATAAAATCAGTCCATACGTGCGACTGTCACCATACACTTGAAAGGCTTCCTGACGTGATGGGATGCAAGTGAAAGTGAAACATGCGAGTCCCAGATACTGTCTTTCCGTGACAGGTCATTCTCCCGATATAAACCTTTTTTTTCCACTCTTGATTTCGTAATGGATAAATAAACATTCCCTGGCGCCATTCTCGTCCAGATCCAGGCCTACGCATGCAAAGATTCACTATCACTCACCCGACCGATACGGAAAGACTTCCGGCGCATCTTCGCTGACGACGTGGCAGGTCCATGAATGCGCCTTGGAAAGCGAACACGTGACCGCCCGTCGTGGACGGGGTCGATCGATTGTGTCGATGGGCTCATGGCAAGTGTATTTCTTCACCTGGTGAGGTCCCGGGTCAAAGTTGGGCCTCCCCGGTGGCAGCGGTTCGGCATTTTCCATTATATTTTCCACGCCGAAAATTGAGGGCGTAGAAACCTAAGAGATTGGAATTGTTCCCCAATTTTATGGGTGTGGGGCCGAAGGGTTGCTATTGCTCCTATTTTCCATTTATATAACCATATCTGTGAATTGCAGATGGCGTTCTGGCATGCGCAATTGCGAAATGATCCTGGAGTGTTCAGACGCATTTAGCCCCCCCCCACTTTCTAAAACGTTNCCTCCCCACTTTCTAAAACGTTTCTAAGCTTATGCCAATATCTCCTGTAGAAGATGGAGGAGGATTGGCCCTTTCCTTGAGGATCACTGCAGTAGGATCTTTTTTCTCTCCCTGGGATTTTCCAAGACTCCTCGAAAGAGCGGAAGAGCAATCGGGGGATTCCGGCTGGTTTCCTAGCATGAACTTGCGATGCATTTCCAGATCGGCCATCACCGGAATCGACTGCGCGGGTAAAACGTCCTTTTTCTCGCGGTGAGTTGGCTACAGACGCAATCGGCTGATGGATTTCGGGGAGGAGGATTTTCGACGAACGGGATCGAGTTAAGAATGTCACGGTTAATTTTCTCTCGAGGATCGATCGCATCGTCTGCTCCCGGTTCACAGCGGATTATGTTTTCTCTGGACTTGGGAGTTGTTTCGACGAAGGAAATAGTCCCACAGACGCATGATCGCGGCTCAGACTGGTTCTTACCTCTTCGCCATGGGCTCGAAGCCAGCTCGCATCGAGCTCACGTTCGCTCGGGGTTGCCGACAGAAGGGCTCACAAGGACGAAAACATCCGGTAGGCTTTTTCCGAGGCCAATGCGTTCCAGTTGTGCTATCCGTAGGGTTCTGGAGTTAATTACCCTCTCCGGAAGGTTCTGCGGCGAGTTGCCCATCAGAAGCATGTAAATGTAGCACTCCATTAAACTCCTCTCGAACACTTCTCTCCTCCCTTCCCATCACCCCATGTCGCGCAGCACTTAAAAATCCTGTGATGTGTCGTTACAATAAGAGCATTCATCAGTTTGCCAGTACGCCGCTGCACCATTAATGGAAAAATTGGGCCGGCATTCAATATTTGGCCTTGAGCAGGGACACCAGAACTCGTTCTCGAGCCCTCATTCCGTCATGCCAGGTGGATTATGTTCAAAACCCAGCGCGGAGAGACACAAACGAGCAGGCCTCGCAGCCCCTCCGCCATTCCACTGGACCTTGGGGGAAATAGTTCCGTTTGTCTTCCTCCTCGTGTCGGCCCAAGGACTATTTTCCCATAGCAGAACTTAGCAAGGATTTCAAACCAACCAAACGCATGGAGAAATATCGGCCGAATGGTTACCAAAGGTCGACATTTTCATATGGGCCTTATAGTCTGTGCAAGTCTCACGATATCTCAGAAATATTTTCAACCATCAACCTCAAAAATTAATTCCATTGCATCATGAAGAAATTGCAAAGATACCAGTGTTCGTTGTCAAATAAAGCAATTAGAAGACATGATCGCACGAGCTTTATTTCTGGATTTCTCTGGTATGGAATAACAAAAGACCCAAAGCCAACTCAAATATACAAGGATGCACCATGCAAGAAAAAGAGAGAGGCTCTTTAAAATGGAACAAAACTCACGGCGAACCAAGAGGGACTCCTCAAAGGAACGTATTCTAATACGGCCTTATTTCGTGAAAGAAAAGAGACTGAAACATAAAATTTGTCTGCCTGATGCGAATAATTTTTTTTCAGCCCAGGAATTTGTCTTCCTGGTGGTTTTACATTGGAACCACCTTTTTTTGGAGTTTTGAATCCTGTTATAGAGTTTTTTCTCATTTTGCTATTTTTTTGTGACATGATAGACCATGCCTTTTTCCATTAGACAGGAGTGATGAAGTACAGTATGAAGTATGAGAGATGTAGGAAGAAAGGAGGAATTGGTGAGAAGCCTCATTTTCTTTTTTTTTTAATCATGTTTTGTACAAATTTTACAATTTTTTTGGGTACTTTTTTGGGATGTTGGTGATGCCAAGGATACCAAGGTAACAAGGAGAATTGGGATTAGAAGAGGCATACAGGAACTTTTGTGTTCACGTGGGGACTTCACTCTCTCTTTCCCTTTCACAACATGGTGATTAAACCGAACTTCTTTCTGCGCTTCAAAATCGAGATGTGTTGTGGCAACTTCAACGGGATAAAAGGAAAGAACAGACGAGAGAGCAGAGAGGAAGCCGATTAGGAATGAGGCAATCGAGTCTATCCACTTTGCTCTCCCTTTCACCATCTTGCACGTCTCAATGGACGCCCCAACAAGCTCATGCTGTGGCTCAGTCCTTCTTGACTGAACCAGTAGCAGAAACCTGGGCAGTGCCCATGACAGCTGCTTGCTGTTTAGCCTGATGAGCCTGGAGGACAGCTACAGCTTCCTCCACTTTGGCCTTTAGTGACTCATGATGCTCAAGCATGTGCAGCAGCTCAGAGTTGTCGATCTCCAACAGCATGCCAGTGATCTTGCCAGCCAACTCGGGATACATGCGCTGGATCAATGGGAACAGACGCTCACCCAGCATCTGCTTCTGCTCTTGTGGTGGAGCTGCAGCCAACATGGTAGCTGTAAGAGGCTCCTGGCCTTGGATGTGCACTGCTTGTTGAGCCACTGGTTGAACTGGCTGCTGAGGGACCTGTAGTGGCTGTGGGGGATTTCGCATATTGGCCGTGTACTTGAAAGCTTGAGGCCGCACCTGATTGGCACCCACAGAAGCTCCAGGAGCTCCCATTGGGCGGCCAGCCACGCCTGGCCCCACAGGCTGTTGGCTCGTCATGGGACGAGCTCCAAGTGCGCTGCGGAGAGATGGCTGAGCATGACGAGGTGCTGCATGACGGAATGTGGTACTCATGTTTGCAAACGCAGTGGCAGCCTGGGCTCCAGGGCGGAGCTGTGGTGCAGGAGTCGGCCAGCGAGGTGTCGCTCGCACCTGTAAAAACCATCATCCAGATGAGTAAGCTTTTTGGAGAGACATGGCACACATGCTGCCAGAAATAAGATTCATACCTGTGGCAACTGAGTTGGTGAATAGAAACGCTGTGGTTGGGCCATGGCTGGCAAGAAGTAACTGCCACCTGCATTGAAGACAGGTCCCATCTGTTGCATACGAATGTTGGCCATGCGCTGCATGTACTGAGAAGCCAGATGAGCCTTGCGATCTTCCTTCCGTTGGGCCAAAGCTACATACAGTGGCTTGGATCCCACAATGCGCCCATTCATTTCTGTCACTGCCTTGGTTGCCTCTTCAGGAGAGGAGAAACAGACAAACCCAAAGCCTTTGCTTCTCCCATCCTCAGTCATGACCTGGAAATGAGAAACCATTACAGCCATGGTCATTTGGGTACACACATGAAGGAAAAGATGGAAATCAGCTCACCTTGGCTGAAGTGATAGTGCCGAATGGAGCAAATTCCTTTCGCAGACGCTCATCATCAATGGAATCGTCCAGGTTCTTGACATAGAGGTTCACACCTTGATAGCGACTCATGCGATCCAATTTCATCTGTTCGAATTTCTTCCGCAGTTCCATCTGCCGTTCAGCCTTCTTCTGGGCTCTACCCACGAACAATGTCTGGAATTGGCAGATACATTTAATCAATAATCTGTATTATATGTTCAAGAAAGCAACACTCCTACACATAATCCATAACAATGCTGAGTCAGAAGCAAATCAGGACTCATATCCCATTCTCATGCTTGATTTGAAAGCCTGATTCTTAAAGCCTTCGAAATGGAATTCAAACTTGTTCACAAATCAACAAAACCTTTACGTTAAATTGGAAATAAACCATCAAAGTTAAAAAAAAATCACATGAAATTTGTGGAAATGACATGGATAAGTCTTAGAACAAAATATGGCATACAAGGCCCTTGCCTGTGGCCCACCATGACTGGTGGCATTGTAAGTGCTACTGTGGCTCCTGCCCTGTTGGCCACAGCTATTGGTCAGTCAGACTGCAGCCCACAGTAGGCAAATAAAAATTGCAAATGGCCCTCACAGCCTTTTGAGTTGTGCTCCTCTGCTTTAGAAGGTAATGATAGGAAATGGATACAACTAAATGAAATTGGTTGAAAAGCCTCCAAATCTGACTGACAAATTCCATACCCAAAATTGAAAAATCATCTCTGAAATCCAATTGTGCTAGAGCCAAAATATAAGGACACAACCATCAATGGACTCAAGGATGTATGAAACATTCAACTTCATTCCCATAACAAGTATGACTGTTCATACATATAAGGAACACTACTTGCTCCTTTCAAAGGACATCCAGCACAGGATGAAAATTGTACATCAAATTGAAACTTTTCCAAACTCTGTATTGATCTGTATAACTTGCTTTTCAATTCAGGAAAACCCCAGTCTACCCAAGAATATGAAATAGCAAAAGACTTGTGGACAGATTAAAGTCTTTGTTCTTCCATTTCATTAATTAGGCCAGCCATATTATCTGAAATGAGTAACATAGATCAATGCAAAATTGAACATGAAAATTGGGTACCTAATCTCCTAGTATTATGGCATTCCATGTTATAGGAACACCCATGAACAAGGTTATGTGGCAACCAGATACACTGATACCGATACAAGATGGCCTGTAGTTCTAGGCTCTTTTCAATGACTAACAAAGGGCCCACAAATGAATGGGGATTGATAAGTTAGAAGAGAAAGATAGAATAGATGTAAAACTATATGATCAGGCCTCTTGGCTTGGTTTCTTTCAGCTTATGATTTCAGGAGTTAAATACACACCAATGTAGGCTCTTCCAAACTTTCAAATATGATCCGTCCATCTTCAATTCATGTGTAATGAAGAGTACTGCTACAAGTTTAGACATTTTTCATTTGTGTCAGATCATGAAAGTCAATTAATAAATGGGTCATTTTGCTTGTTGCATGAAAACATGAAACCTCTTGGCTAAAATTGCAATAGCAGAATGAAAGCATATCATCACACTTCCAGCTTTATGTAGTAATTGAAAACCTTTTATGAGACCACACATTTTTTGAAAGGGAACTTCACCTTTTCAGAGACCTCCTCAAGCAAGGGTTTTTTTCAGAGACCATCTTCTAAAATAGCTGGCTTTCAACAAATGTCTAATAATGACTGGCAGTCAGTCAGTGGCAGCACTTTGAGAAGCAACAGGGGCCTAACCTCCCCAAAAAATTTCAGTACACACTTTCCTGCTTTATAAATATTCTTAAATGGTTCAAACTGCAAAGGAAATCTGCATTACACTGATTCATTCTCCTTGGAAATTAAAACAGTGAGACTCTTTCCCTTACAGTATATTGGTGGGAAGTATTTCCACAGGAAAGTCAGAGATAAGAGGCTACCAGTGGCACATTTGGAGGAAGCATAATAGTATCTGTAACACAAGTGCTACGCTGGTGCCAATACATCCAGCAGCAGAGGTCAGCTTGCAGCTTTGCAAAATGTATACATGCATCCCAGCTATAAGCCACACCTCCAAAAGCTTGTTCATAGACCTATCCAGGGCCCAAAGTTGGCAGCAGCTTGAGGGGCAAAATCAACATTTCCCATAAATATCAAAACAGAATGTACATCACTTGATATTTTCAATAATTATGATATATGGGGTTGGCTTATCAACCAGTCTTGTTATATTTATACATTGAGGACAACTTCTTACACAAATTACCCAAAAAAAAAAAACATTTTTGTGGTTTCTGATTGGCGTTATCAAAATGATGAATTTCCATTCATTGCACACATTATGAGTTGGCCTCCCCAAATTTGCATGAGCCACCACTAATCTCAAAAAGTTCAAACCTGGATGCATAGCATAAAGACATGTTGAGAGCAATATTTCCATAAAGCCTACAGCATTTAAAAGGAAAATCATATCCTTCTGCAGTGAATTTCAACATTTGGAGGTTTCTACCTATTAGTAACTAATGCTCACCTTGCCATTCCCAAGATCCTTGCTATGTAGCTCCTCCACAGCCTTTTCAGCACACTCAGAATCTTCAAAGGCAACAAATCCAAAGCCCTTGGAACGACCATCATCAGTGGTCATCACCTGCAATAGAGATAAGAGGAACAGGGCTGATGGAAGAGCAAGAAAGCACTCTTAGGAAGAGAAAGCCTCACATTAACAATGGAATCCACTCAGGCTAGTTTTATCATCACCAACAAGGCAGTATATCATTCAAAAGGGCATCACAGTTTGGTGAAGACCATTAAAACAATACATGCAGCATGCACCAACAACAACTAGGCAATCAAGATGAATAAGTCAACTGCATAAGACTTACCCTGCAGGAGGTGATCTTTCCATATGCTTGGAACATATCCTTCAGCCTGTTATCATCGAATTCCTCGCCAAAGTTCTTGACAAACACATTAGTAAAGCGCTTGGCTCTCTCTCCCATAAGCTTTTCTCTTTCCTTGCGGGGAATGAATTTCCCAACATAGACCTTCTTGCCATTCAGCAACATGCCATTCACCTTGGCAATGGCATTCAATGCTGCTTCCTCTGTTTCAAAGTGGACAAATCCATATCCCTTCGAGTTTCCCATCTCATCAGTGGCCACCTGTAATTATGCATGATTTCTTCATCCATACTTTTGTGTTTAGTTTGAAGCCAGAAGATAACTGACCTTGCAGCTCAGGATGTTCCCAAAAGCAGAGAATGTGTCATACATAGCCTTGTTATCAATGGATTTGTCCAAGTTCTTGATGAAGATATTCCCAACACCCGACTTCCTGAGAGCTGGATCTCGCTGAGACCACATGATGCGAATGGGCTTACCCTTCACCATGTCAAAGTTCATTGTGTCCAAAGCCCGCTCAGCTACAAAAGAAAACATCACATAAAAATGCAAATGAAAATCATATTCATACAAAATCAAAAAGGTTGCTTTTCAAGGCTGCTTGGATAAACTCAAATTCAAAACTTCAAGAATCTTTGATGGAAATAAAATCCAACAACCAAGTCCACCAAGAAGTTTTATATGCCAGATTTTTTCTATGCTTTGGATTTCTTTGAAAGTTTTCTTTCAAAAATCTTTCTTTAACAACATTCTTTCATCATCTATGCAAGGAAACTTTCTGGTGTTGATGAGGCACAACACTGTACCCCTACTTTCATTGTATTCATCTTAGATATTAATCCAGAAACAATGGTTTCCAGATATAATAATGAGAAAAAAAGAACATTTCAACATTCTGGCAAATCCCACTTCATTAAGTTCATAAAGCAAACCTCTGACTTGGAACTGTCAGCACATATTTTGGTGGTATCATCCCCCTCATTGCACTATTAGGACCTTGCTCAATTTCTCTGGAAGACAGATATTTTCTGAAAAACATTCTTGTTCCATAATTCATTAGTGAGAAAAAAAACAGGCTTGCTGAAGCAACTTTTCTATTTAGACTTCAAAAACATCGAGACATTCCTGTCTTACCAGGGTTGCAGAAGCAGTACCTTTCATTTTCAACCAAGGGACTCTCATTTCCTCAAAAAAAAATCAATAAATGTTTAAATGCAAAAAAAAACTGCTTAATTGAGCACTCTTATTTAAAGCCATTGTCGCGCATTCTAGTTTCTTCAGACAGAAGTAATCCATTTTCCTTAAAGCTTCAACAAACTGATCATTTGCATGCACCATCCTTGAATGAGCTTGGATGTATCACTGGATGTCAGCTTGCATTTGCCTGGTGTCCAATGTCAAACCCCACTCCCCACGAAAACGGGCAGAAGCGGGTATTCTTCCTTTGCTGATCAAATAGCAAAATGGACAACTCCAAAAACTGCATTCAGGTTTGGTTCATCCACCTCTGTCCCATGGCATATAAAATTCTAAAATCCTTAAAACAGTGGGCAATTATTTATTTCTCCCTAAATATTTCAAGTCTATAGCATTCACTTTCAGCTAGTTTTCATAAATGTTTTTTTACTACTAGTACACAAGGTTGTGTCAAACTTTTAAAACTTGAGCTGGTCTATAACTAAGTCAACTTCAATTGCTCAAGAATTTCAAGAAACCTGAAACCTCTGGCATATATGACAGCAGTAAACCCAGAGCCCATCTTACCATTTCAAATATAAAAAAAAAGCTCACCATCAGCAGGTTGTTGAAAGTTTACATAAGCATATCCCAAGGAGCGACGGGTGATCATGTCTCGGCAAACGCGAATGGAGAGAACTGGTCCAGCCGTAGAGAACTTCTCAAAAAGCATGGCTTCTGTGATGTCCGGGTGAAGATCGCCAACGTAGAGGGACGCCATTGATGTGCTCGAACCAGAAGAATTGATTGTCTTCTTCACATATATGAAGGGAGAGTATCCACTAATATACCCTTAAACTAGTCTATACTTTGGTAATGCTAAGAATCACTGAAGTTCAATTGATAGAAAAGCAAATCTGGATTAACTTGGCAAAGGATTGGAAGTTTAGGCCTATAGGTATACTACTGAAGCATATGAATAGTGAAGTCCTACTTCCTGAATTTTTTTTCCTTTTTATTGTGCAATCCAGGCTACTCCAAACTTACTACTACCCTTCCTAAGAGCTACAATCTTCACTAGAAGATACCTTCAAGAAATGTTACTTGAACACTATCCAGCCCAGGAAAGGAAATTTTCATTCATAAATTAACCTTTGTTTACTTCTTACATCTCATTGTTTCTTTTCATATTGGTATCTCACTTTTGGAAATGCTTTCTACTAGTAACTGATGATATTTTCCAGAACACCACTCAGGAACTATGAATTTTAAAAATGACATCAAGCAACCTCATCTTTGATTACCATTCAATCTAATGAGGGAACAAGATTGTCAAGCTGCACAGTTGCCTTGAAGCTCATACATGCACTTTTCATTTCAATATGACTGCAAACAACAGTAGGCATTATGTGCTCAATGCCCATAATGAAAAGATTACTTCTCTTGCCACCTAGAACTTCATGACAAATACATGAATAGTTAAGTAGAAGTCCAATTGATGAAGTGCATTTGTCATAGTGGTTTCATGAGATTAAGTTCTGCCCAAGACAGATAAAAAAAAAGAGCAGAAATGGCTCCTTTCAGGCTAACAGTGGGAATAAATCCTATGCACATCACAATGCTCATGTAGTTACAACCTACAACCTCAGACAGCTAAAATCAACAGTCAAGTTCCTTAACAGTTGCATTAACTTCCTAGTGAAGATAAATATAAATGTCATTAGTGCAACTTGCATCATTCCTGATGTGCTAACATGACGGAAAAGAGGATGTAATGAATAGAGAATGATGCAATAACATTGTGCCAAGAGATATTCCAGGGCAGAAACAGATCCAAGACATCCCAACAGAGCTGTGACAGAAGCCTAGCAATGACCCAATGAAAAAGTTGGTTAGACCAATGTCTCAATTCAAGCAAAGATATGAAAATTATAGAATAATCCTATGGTGGGGCTAAGCATAGGCGTGTCTTACACCTAGTTAGGCCGTGGCCTATTACTGTCCTGTTTCATCCATAAAAGGGTCAGTCTACTTCCAGCAGATTATATCATAGGCTTAACTATTTACCAAAGAGTATCCGAAGAGAGTAAAGAACTGATGTAGACCTAGTTGAGATGCCTTACCACGTAAACTGGAGAAAGCAGTCAGTGGGGTTCTCTTTTTTTGTGGTTTTTGTGTTTTACTGATTTTTTTGGTATTTTTAGATTTTTATAATTTTTTTGGGGGTAATTTTTTTCAAGGCAAACTTATAAGTTGAAGAACAACACACAAACTAGAAGCGAATTATGGGGAGGTGAGGTTGCCACACACAACCCCACGCGAACAAGTTCCTGCCAGGAGAGGAAGGGAACTAGGAGGGAAACGGCGGAGGAATACACTCCCTCTCGACGGATCTCCCACGTCACGTGTCGCGTCATCAAAACTTAGATCCGCCTGGCCTTCCCCACTGCGTATTCCCCTCCGAGCAACCAGCCTGTAAGCGCGCTTCGTACGGTATGAGAGCAGCGAAACGGCGCGACGATTAAGCGGCGCAGAACGCTAATAAATTGTTTTGCTGTTCTAACTCTTTCGCCAACTCAGATTATACCATAGGTTGACGACGCAGTCGCAGTAGAAAGTACGAGTAGGCGAAGACCGAACCTGCTTTAACTGAATGTAAGCCTTCACGTTCTGCTTCAATTTCGGCGAGTCCCCAGCGTCGGCGTCGCGAGGGATTTTAGCCATGGAGGCAACGTAGAGGAAGCAGATCGGAGGGTCCGCCCCGGACCGAGAACGAATAGAGACGAAAAAGAGGCAATTCGGACGAGCCTAAGAAGAAGGAAGGCAAGTGTTGCCCCCATCCAACAATGAGCCACGTCTTCGCCCTCGTCCCGACTGGTCGACCGGCGACGAAACTGCATCCAATTTTACGATTAATTTTTCAATCGCGGGAGAGTACTAGCCAGAGTTTTTGCGCACTTGCACGAAGGTGTTGAACCCTAGACGCTGTTTAAAAAATATATAACCAGGATTTATAACCAGATATATAACCAATACCATTTCTGAATCAAATTTGCATTCATCCCTGATTCGAGATCGAGATGAACCTCGTCACGGGATATAGACGGTAGATTCCCTCACTGGGCAAAAATCACTCGGTTTCAATCGCAGCTTTCGGCCCATCCGGCATGCTTCACTAATGTATTACACGCATCAATTTCCAGGCGTCTTGGATAGTGTCGAACGGAATCGCTTGCCCCCCGTGGGGTGACGGTGAGGCTGCGGTGGGGGCTCGAGGAGGCCCCACTTCGCAGCCGCCCCTAATATTTTTCTCCTCCGGATTTTTTTTTTTCCTCCGATACGGATCAGCTAGAGAGTCGAGTTCTCTTCACGATTTCCTCATACAGGTCGAAGACGAGTCCCGTTCATCCACGCATCCATCCACGAGGGTCCCAGATGACATGGACCAGACCTGGACCAAGCACGGACCAGACCTGGACCATCCCAGAATCCTGGAAGCGGAAGATGGGAACCGGCCGAACGAGTTCTGCTTTCCCTTTTCCACTCCTCGAGAAGTGAAAGATGACGACAGAAGCCGCTCTAGACGGTATCCGGACAAAATGGCCCCGGACAAAAGGTCCCCGGACATTTTGGCCCCGAATAATATCTTCCTAGGACAAAATGGCCCCGGACATTTTGACCCCAAATGAGATATAGGACAAAATGGTCCCTCCGGTAAAAATGTACGATGACAGCTCATCAAGAGTTAACGACAATTTTAATAATTGCGTCGCCTACTTATGACTACGTTCTAAAATTAAGTTCTTTATTATCTTGAAGCTTGAATGCATTGGGGGCTATGATTCAAGATGTTTATTTTCATCGTATCTTAATATGCTACAGCAGTACTAAAGGTTCACTACCTTCTCGTTCGCCTTCCGCTATCTTGCCCATCCTCCCCTCCCTATTCTAAGAAATATATATTCCCTCACTTGCCACTTTTCTCGTCCTCTACGTTCCTTGATTTAATACCCACTTCCTCCCTCCCCCCCCTCCATCCACCCCCCTTCGCCCATCTCCGCTCACCCTTTCCTCCCCCTCCGCCTGTCAATCTGGCTTAGACTCTCCTATTATTTAAAAATTTTCTATATCCTCCCTTCGTTCTGACTCGATGGTTGATTTCAGCTTTGTCGTATTCCAGTTGAGGTTGAACTGCAGTCTTCCATTGTTTCCGTTGCGTGAGGCTTAGACTCTCCTATTATTTAAAAATTTTCTATATCCTCCCTTCGTTCTGACTCGATAGTTGATTTCAGCTTTGTCGTATTCCAGTTGAGGTTGAACTGCAGTCTTCCATTGTTTCCGTTGCGTGTAACTTTCAGCCGAGCTAGACGATGACTGGATTGAGATGTATAATCAGCAGTGCGGATGATCGGACCTTCACCGTCAGGTATATCCATGCGTCTGACATGGAAGCCATCGAGATCACCAAGTGCCGCAATGCTATGAAGGAGAGCGCAGGATATTTTCATGCAACCGAGACTGCCGCCATGCATGGTGTTCGGGAATCATTTCACGTGAAGGATATGGCAAAAGATCCACGATCCATGATGACTAGTCGAGGTTTGTCGAAATGATACTTTTCATCATTCTATAGGGATTCTGGATGACCTCGCGTTCCTGCCACTTTCTACGGTGATAGGAAGTATGCAGTTCTTCTAGAAGCCCTAATATATTTTGGTGTGCAACTCATGGAGGCAAAGTTTATTGCTACAGCAGAAGCAAACAGCAACATGGAGCTACATGTTATGGAATCTAATGACATGTCCAGTTCCACGAAGGAAAGATTCCAAAGTAATTGTTCCGTTCGCATATTTTGAGCATAGGGTCTGCAACCGCTTTTCCGTCGTGTGATACGCCCTCCGAACTCTCTTCTTTGGAGGAAGTCCCGCAGAAGTCTGCAGTATAGCTGTAGATATTGATCCTTGTTCAGATTGCAGGACATCAATTGCCTTCCAAATGCTGGGATGCTGATGTCCCACCATACGAGAGAACTTGTGGTTCCATCCCTCAGCTTTGTTGTTTGTCCGGTCGCTGCCAGTAAATGTTGCCTCATGGAGATTCCAGACACTCGGGGGAAACCTTGGAGCACATCGCTGCAATCGCAGGTTTCCTTGAGACGTGTTCACTCTACGATAAGGGCCGCTGACGTAGGTACCAATGTTGCCTCATGGAGATTCCAGACACTCGGGGGAAACCTTGGAGCACATCGCCGCAATCGCAGGTTTCCTTGAGACGTGTTCACTCTACGATAAGGGCCGCTGACGTAGGTACCATCGAAATAGGATACCAGTGCCTCGGCTGCAGGTGGCATAATCTCTATGAGAAACTGCATTCCCCCGGCAACAGCAGACACAGGCAGGAACGCTAGGGCATCCAACATCCCAACAAAGTGGCGGAAAGACTCATCGTTCCGATAAACTTCCACTAGTCCCAAATCCTGGATCTTCCTCCAAGTGCTTTGTGCTAGGTGATAAAAGCAGCCTTGATTCTTTACACTTTCCCTAAAAACTTCCTGAACGGCTTGCATGGCTGCAATCTCAAAATCCATTATTATTGTTTCTGGGTCTGGAGACGAGCTCTCAGTTTCGCACTCGGAAATTATAGCGCGAAACAATTCGGCATACGTCTCCTGAGACTTCCCTTGAAGGAAGGCATAGACAGCCGCTACTGCAGGGGGAGCATGAATCACATAGAGCTGCAGGGAGTTTTTCGGGGCCATCGTGAAGTTCCCAGCCATATACCAAGTGGATGCCTCAGTCAGCAGCTGCAGACACTGTTTCGTGCCAAAAGCAATAATTCTGGACTTTGAAAGCGGCCCGTTATCAAAAAACAGAAAAGGTTCTGGACGAACACCACCTGTGGTTGCCCAGATACCATCGACGGCCAGGTCTTCCAAAGCTTGTGGATCTGGAGGGTAGTGCAGCCTCCGATTACGCCTGATTGATCTATTGATGGTGGCCACCGTAGGAATGACCGCCTTAGCCCCATCAGTAAGCTGAAGAACGGCCTCAGCAAATATAACGCTAGGCTTGTCATGAGATTTTGCTGCTCTCTTCTTCATGGCGTTGCGGCATTTTGCAATCTCGATAGCATCCACGTCAGGCGCATGATTATGCTTTGCAGTCGTCGTTGGATCTTCACTTGCGATGATGCTGCCCTGCATCCTCTGCACACATCGCCACCGAATCTTTTTAGCCATATCCTTCTGCTTCGTATACATGAAGCCCTCGACAGCCACCTTCATTCCTCCTTGAGTGGTTTTGATGATCTCCATCTCTGGTATTACGAACATATGCGTTCAATTTTTCGGAAGATTAAAAAATACGAATAAAAACACTTCAGGGCGTTTCATTTAAATTGTACATCTTTGAACGCTCATATCTCTGAGAGGACGCAACCGTTCTTTAC